ATAAACCCATCAAATTCAATACAGTGTTTGGGTTACTTCTCTTCTTCATGTATGTCCGTCCTTGGTCATTGACTTTGTGGACCGTAGCTGTAACCGAAAAATCTTTGTAACTTTTAATGTTGTTTAGTGATTAGCTCCTTCAATAGTTAAATGTATAAGGTTTCTTATGGGAATATTTTGTAGTACATGAAATAATCGTGGTGAAAAGAGTAAATGCCAAAATAACTGACCAAAATGATTTGCAATGCAAAAATAACATTTATTAAAACAAAATTAACAAAAAGAAAGTTTAAAACAAGAATTTCTTTTATTAGAAGTAAATTGTATAGTATATACACAACGAAATGTTTATGAATATATTTGAGCGGGACTTGCTGTTTTGGTTTGTTTTAGAGGGAAGCGTTCAGCTTCAGAGTGGAATGTTCATGTCACCAGGTCGAAAGAGAAAAACCCGCGGGGGAGGGGAGAGAGAGAGAGAGAGATACTTTAAGGTTCATGTGCTTTTACATTCGATAGCTGTTGCTGATACAAGCTTTATTTAGGGCTGCTACTGCTACTATGTTTAAGACACTACAGTAGTATATAAAAATTATTTATTCTACTAAGTTTCATAAAATGGTAGAACAATAAATATATATTCTGAATCTATTGGTTAAAGATAATTTATTTTTAAACATAAATACCATTTTCTTGATTATTCCCCTACTGGTGATTTGTAATTAAATTTTAAAAAATCACGACCTTTTTAAAAGTGGGATTGACATTTATAGTTTTTGACCTGTCACCTCACAGGCTACCGTGCGTAAATAAACGTTATTTTTATTATGTTTTTAAGCAAAAAGTAAGTATTACGTTTGCAAAATCCAGTTAATTAATCCTTAGATTTACTAATCAACTTCGAAACACATCTTGAACAAATATTGAATTTTAAAAAAGATTTTTAAATTTGTTGCATATATTTTTTTTTATCTTTCATGGCGATTCGGTAAGATGATGAGGTATGGATGAACGTGCTAAAATGTTTTTAAAATATCTAAAATCCTTATTTATATACTGAAATTAATTTTTCTTTTAATTAACTTTAAGCTATTATCTTTCAACTAAAATGAAAACTTAACATAAAAGAAGACATGCGTTTTTCGGATTTTTTAAGAAGTTGGTGGTGGGGCCTATGGAATTTTTAAAAATCGATATTACCTCATGCAAGGCAGTAAAACCACTAAGACACAAAGGGTTACAGGATGTGGAAGACTTAGGAACAGAAACATTAATAATGAGGAGGAAGAGGAAAAAGGAAGATAGTAGATAGCGATTGACATTGCATTTAAATTTTTTTGCAAATTAAAGTTGGCTGGAAACCATGGAACCGGAAGAGAGTTCCACAAGCGAGAAATGAAACTGTTCGCATAGAATTTACGGTTACATCTAGCCATTTAGAATTCATCGCTATATCTAGCCAACTTAACTGTAAATTGACGAGATCTCGATGCCAGTCTAAATTCAAGAGGTCTAGGTTCCATAGTGAAGAGCAATATTTATTTTATAAAAAATTACAAAAAGGTGGCACAAGGCCAAAAGGAGGAATGGGAGAAACGATTGTTTTTTCTGTCTTATAATTAAACATAGCTAGCCACAGTCACTGACACAAACATACCACCATATTCCTTACACGAAAACAACACATTTTTACATACCCTTCTTACTACATAATACTTCAGACTCTCCGTTAAACCCAAATTATTCCGAACAATTACCATGAAAGTATTTATAAAGACACGGTGATGAGACAACCTTACGGTGGTGGGAAAGTGACTGAAGCCGGGCCGCCAGATCAGGACCAATAATATTGCTGATTCTTCTTTGCATTAAAATGTCTTATCTTTCAAATGAAATGCTACACGTCCACATAATCCTTTTAATTTGAATAGAAGGCCATTTTAGTTTAGAGGCCCTGATTTTAAATCTTTAAATTTCGAAATAAATGTGACATTTTTTTCATATTGATTCATATTTACATGGAAGGTTTTTATGAAATATTACTTATTTCGGCTACGATATAAAAATATTTTTAAATTACAAAGAAATTCCATAACAAACTTAAAATTCATTTCAAAAGATAAAAAGAATATAATTTTTATTCAATAAACTGTAAGTCCAGTGCATAAGAAAACGTGTTTAAACTATTTAGCTTTCACTATGAGAAGGGGAATAACTCATATCGATTTTGCACGATACTGATAGAGTAGTTTCCCTTATGCACACTTTCCAATTTTTAAAACAATTTTTCCATGCATGTCAACAGGATATAGCCAAAAACTGCTGCTCATGCATACACATACGGGGTCCTAATATTGTTTTTTTGAACGAAGAATGAAATTTTCTTTAAGGTAATTTGGAAAATTAATCTATCAACCTACACACTGTCCCGATTCCACATCTGGTACGCTATAGCTGTCGAGAAGGCAATGGCGGAATGAACGTTGGTGAAAATCATTCTCTCATAAATACCTTTTCTGTCCAATCAGTATTGGAAATGTAGTAGAATTTATTTTAACTTTGTTTTGTGTAAAAACTAAGATTTAGTTCAGCTTCTAATCGAAAAATATGAAAATTTAAAAAAAATATAAAATAAAGTAAATTAGAAAATGGTTGAATTTCACTCAGCAATTGAAACATATTCCCCAAAAGACAATGTAATTTATTTCATAGAGTAAGTGATATCGGCGTGGAACTGTCGAACCGAGTTCAAACTTCGGGCTAAATTGTTACGCTCACTTTTGTACAAATACCCTGACAAAAGGTCAAGAACCACTAAATTGGTTGTGCTTTTGTCGAAATGAAAGCAAATCCTTACCTCCTAGTTTTAAAATTTGACCAAAGCTCAAATCTAAACGAAATTTTCGGTACTTATTCATTAAAAGTATTGAGGAAAGATTCCCTGAGTCACCGTTTAAATAAAAAAAAATGAAAAAATTGTAACATGTTCAAATAATGAACATGCAACAATCATTACTTGCATTATTCAGATTATTATACTCATCTCCATTGCCATATTCACAATGTTTCGGTTGTGGTACGCTCCAGTCTTCTTCAGGTGATACTAATTTCGAACCGAACTCTTTATTTCGTCCACCAGGGTAGATTGTTCTAGTTCCACTAGCCATGCCTCTTCCGGATGATATCTCAATTATTTCCCTTTAACTCAACTCTCCAAGTTTTGGTTAACCACTGCGTGAACTCACAACTCTTTGGGTCTTGTCAGTAGATCTAATCAACGTCTTTATTCACTGGGCCATGTGTTCTTGAGGAAAATGGAGATGAGAATAACAGTCCGAATAATGTAAATAATGCAAGTAATCATAATACCTCATCTCAGAGATATAGACAGATATTGCAACAATCTTTTCTTTCATTTTTTTTAAATAATCATATTTATTTAAATGTAGGATACACAAATTTTAACTGCAATTGTCTATCATGAAATGAAAGTTAGAATGTTCTCTTTGACTGTAAGGAAATGATCATGAATAGTCTTTCACTGAGGAAGAGAGAAAGAGGAAATGGGAGACAAGATCAAAGGGAGTTCGTTGTTGCTTTAATGAGAAAGACAAGACGCCGAGGTTGACTCGTGTCTGTTTACTACTGCCATTCATTCTCTATTTACCAACCACCCGACAAAATGTGGCACAAGGCCGGTTTTTAATGTGGGGCATTCCGAGAGCTCGTAGACTCGGGCAAAAAAAATTGCCGTAGACCCCGTATACACGGGGTCGGGTTTGTTTACCACCCAAACGAGACTTTGTCCTTCGACATAGCCTCGTCCTTTAGCGTTCCTTTGCACCCGGAGACAGAGAGTTCGACAAAAGAGGAAGAGGAAGCCTACTCCTCCTTCTGTCGAGTTGAATGACATTTTTTTGGTTCTTATCATCTTGTGTAGGCTCCAGAGGCTTGTGTTTATTTACTGGCGGAAGCTGATTTTATTGACTACTTATTTTTATTAAATTAAAAATTTGAAGTATGTTTGAAACTCGGAAGGCTGCACGGAGCCCTTGTAACGGTGTGTGTAATTTTGCCATTTTTGCTCCTTAGATTTGATGTTGTTCACTTCCGCCTTTTCTACAATTGATTAACTCTATACTTTAGGTCATTTTTATTAGAAAACTTTTAGAAAATATTTTTGAGGGTTCAGCCCCACCCCTCGATGTCATGTGTGTACTTTTTTTTTTTTTATCTGGGGGAACATTCTGGAAATTCTTTTACAGTTACGTAAAGAAAAATCACTGAAGATGTTATTTCAATAAAAAAAATTATGCTATATCAAGTAGGAATATACCAAAAATGTATCCCGAAACTTCCCAAGAGTAATTCAATACCACTAAAAAGAAAAAAAAATAGGCGTTGGTGATAACATAATTTAATAAAACACATTATTTTCTTTCAGACTGGAGAGGGGGGGGGAAAAAAAACTACACTTAATATTTAATATAAAAAATGACTTGTAATTTTTGATCGCGAATTTGAAATTTGTCCCTTTGTCGATTAAGTGTCCTTTATTTAAATAAAGACACGCTTGAAGAATTGAAAAATATAAAGTTTAAATGCCATTTTCGAGTGTGGATTATTTTTGATAGACTTTTTTTTCCTTTTAGCAACTTAGATTGTTTTACTTTTTTTTTTTGTATGGATGATCCAAAAGGAAATAATTTTGAATTACCGCTTTTGATTGAGGAATCCCTTGATTGATGTGGTTAATATGTACATCGGTAACTATAAAAAAAAATTCAATTACTATGGTTAAACTGAAGAATGTTTTACTGCACTAATCGAAAACGCATTAATCAAATGAGCACTAATCGAGGGATGCCTGTATAACCCGGTCAGGTTTTCAATCGAAACCGGAACGGAAATGAACTTGACGAGGAAGTAAAGGGAGATAATTACGACCTAACGACGCTGATGATGCAACGGACACGTTTTTCATAAGTAAACAAGAGATCAAAATGTTTAGTGGAACTTTTTCACTTTTATTTTTTTCTATATTATTTTTGCCGTCTAATATTATTTGCATTGAGAATGGAAGACGGAAAATTTATCCTTTTCAAAATACCTCGTTGCCATTCAATGAACGAGTTGATGATTTAGTTAGTCGGCTTAATGTATCTGAAATTATTCTTCAGTTGTCCAGGGGTGGATCTGTCTATCCTGCCCCAGCAATACCCCGATTTGGGATCAAACCTTACCAATGGGACACCGAATGTCTTCGGGGAGATGCAGACGCAGGCATCGCTACGGCCTTCCCCCAGGCTATTGGACTGGCCGCAGCTTTCAGGTAAGTTCGCTTATTACTTAAAAACAATAGACAAAAATAAGGATTACTAATTAATTCTTTTATCGACTAATAATTAATTAATTTTAATTTAATTTTAATTTTTTTTAAACAAATAATAAGTTACTTCACTGATTTTCAGAATTTTAAAAACAAATCATCATTTCTATTTTAATTTTAGTCCTGCAGAGGTGAGGTACTTTCAAGCACCCCAATGAAAATATTGATCATTTATTTTCTTAGGTTTTCTTGAAAGTTCTCTATAGTTTTTATCGGACAAATAAAAAAAAAAGGTTTTATTTTGAAAAATCGAACTAAAAGGCCAATATTAAAAAAATGATTTTGTAAGTTTCAAAAAATCAAATAATTAATTGGTTTATTTTATTTTCGGTTAGTTTTTATTTTAAAACAAATTTTTTATGGATTGCTCTACAAAACTGTTTCATATTCCAAGCAATGAATATTGAAAAAGAATGTTACTGTGGTTTTGCATGCATTTTTAAGGTTTACTACAATTAATTACATTTTTACACTTACAGTCAGTCTTTTTACTTTTAAAAAGGTCATGTGCTTGTAATTCACAAAAAAAAAAAAAAATCCTTCCTTGTTAATGTTATATGTTATGTTATTTGATAGCAGTATTTATTCAGGAAGCTAATTTGACTAATGAAAATTTGAGAAGCCACTTATTAAGGAAAATATTTTATTGATTATTCAAACTTCACAGTAATGGAAGATTAACTTAAATAATGGTATTTTTTTTAAACATCCATCCGTCTCCCTTTTTTAACCTAACCCCGCTGAAGACTTTGAAGGCACTGTAGCAAAGTTCTGTGGTCCCATGACTGATAAAAATGGTTAACAAAAAGATGGGTGTGTAACTGTAATAGTGAAAGTATTGCCAAATTGATTATTAATTGTCAAAGTACGATTTCATGATAAAGTGTTCATGACGAAAAATATAAATATTTTCTAAACACGAAAACCCGGACTTTTTAGTAAATGTCAAGGATTTTCTTCGGTGTTCATTTGTAAATATTCCCAAATACCCGGTCTTCTCATTCCTTTTTTGGACGACCCCACCCTCGTAATCCATATCTTCAGGTGCGTGTATCCATACTCACTCACTATGCTTGGCCGATTGTGGTTGTAAATATTATTACTCAATCAATTGTCTTAAAAATAATTTTTTTTCTTATAAAACGTTCTATGTTTTATTTATGTTTGTATACATTTTTAGGCATGAATAAAGTTCCTTTAGTAAAAATTTTAAAAATAACTAACTATTTTTAGATTCATTTTTTTGTTATTATTTTTTAACTTGATTGTCATCTGACTTTGAATGTTGACAAAAGTTGTTACACAATCAAAGTCTTCTTTTTATTTTCAGTTTATTTTTATGTTAATCAATCGTATCAGTTAATTTTTTGCTTTCAATAAAAGATACTCTGTCTCTAGCATAAAAAAAGAACATTTCATTGTATTCAATTTGTTTTCTTTTTTTTTCTTTTGTACTTTCAACCCCAAAAACAAATTACTGGTTCAGATTCCTGGGAAAATTACAACTACTTTTAGTTTAAAATAAAGATAAACTTTGATTGAGGCTGTGTAGTGTGTATATCACAGATTGTGTTCAAATGATGATGTTGAAGGTGGTAGGGTGTGACACAAGGTCAATTTAAATGTAGGGTGTATACATACAACTTCTTCCATGTGCCGTGTTCCTTCAGGACGTGGGCAATCATGGCTCTCCACAATCTTCTCTCTTTTGTAGATGTTTAGCAACGTTTATCCCTTTGCCCCCTCCACCATACCCATTTCAAAATCTATTCAATTTCATCAGCTAAGTGACTTGCTGAATTCCTCTGTTTCTATTGCCATTGATATGCCCTGTGGGTGTTAAATTCTCCAAACCTTTCGTCCTCATTATGTTCCAGGAATTTAAGCAGTCTCTTTTATTGCTGCCATATATGTTCTGGAGCTCCTTCTGTTTGCCTCGGGGTTCTTGATAGGCTCCAGAGGCGGATATGCAATATAATTGGCCCTGCTCTGGCATCTCGTCTACAGTCACTTTCTCACAGACGTGCCATCGCCTCTGTCTGTTTTACAAATACTTTCATGGCAATTGCTCCTCGGAGCTGCATTCGCTGGTTCCCAGACTTCATGAATTCAAGTGCCCTACGAGGCTGGCATCCCGCTCTCACCCTTTCACTATCAAAACTCCTAAATGTAGCTGTCTCTTCTACTCCAATAGCTTCATGTCTCGCACCTCTCGCCTGTGGAACTCCCTTCCCTATTCCTGTTTCCCTGAGAGCTATAATCTCCATCTATTCAAATGTAATGTCAATTGACATCTCCAGTTGCCTTGATCTATCCACTACCCTTCTCCTCATCCTTTCTTCTATCACTCCTATCTGATCTTGCTCCAAATCTTCTGTAACCCCTTGCGTCCTATTCGCTTCTCGCCTTGCTTGGGGTGAAATGCTTAAAAAAAAAAAAAAAAAATAAGTGACCTTTTGGTTTCCATTTTCTTTAAAACTTCATCGTTGCTTACATGTTTGGTCCATGCCATTCTCAGCATCCTTCTGTAGAAACCACTTTTCTGTTGCATCAAGTTTCATCTCCATCTATGAAGACAATGTTCAGTTTTCACTGACATGTAAAAGGACTGGTACTACATAGCAGTTCAGTCGACTTCTTTGTTTCTAATAAATTTTTCCTGTTTCTTAATACTTTGCTTAACTTTTGGAAGGTGTTTTTCACAATTCCAATGCAATTTCAGAGTGTCATCCTCTGTTAAAACATTACCTAGATATTTACACTAATTACATAATTCAGACTGTTGTTCTCATCCTTATTGCTATACTCACAATGTTTTGGCTGTTCTACACTCTGACCGTCTTCAGGTGATTTTGAACCGAACACATTATTTAGTCCACAGGGGCGTCCCCAAGCTTTTTTTTCACCTCTGCTATGGTCAAGTACTGAACTCACAACTCTTTGTGTCAAGTCACTTTTTTATGGATTACTGGGCCATGTGTCCTTGGATATCCCATGGCAAGTGGGACAAAAAACAACCTACCCCCATGAACTAAATAAAGGGTTTCATTTGAAATTCCAATGGATATCAATTGATGAAGGGTGAAGTGTACAATAGCCGAAACATCATGAAAGATGAAGACAACTGTTCAAATGATGCAAATAGTTTAAATACCTCATCTGAGAAATATAGACAGATGTTGAAGAAGGCCGGGGGGAAGGCTTGGAAAATCTGATACACACAGGACAGATTGAGGGAAAGAAGGACAGAGGGCCAACAGTGCTTAACATACTTGATGAGCTTGAGCAAATGGATGGCTGAACAGGGTTTTGGAGAAATGACAAAAAGACAAAACTTATTAAGAGCTACAAGGACAGGAAGATGAGGAGGGCTATGATCGTCTATGTCCTGAAAGAAAGGGTAAAGTAGAATCCAGACTGGTGTTCCTAAATATTGTCCATAACAATACAGAGGAATAAAAAAAAATATTATTCCATCCATCATTTTTACTTGCTAAAGCAAGTAAAAATGATAATATACGGAAAAATCCTCCTGTTGGACGACAATGATTTGTAAAGATTGATACGAGAAAGAAACAAAAGACAAGCAAGAAAAATGGAAGGGAGAATACTCTACAGTTCATAAAAAAAAAAGAAATAAAAAATATAGTTAATGCTCTAAGAAACCAAAATTGGAAATTAAATTCCTGAAACTGGCCATCATTGAAATGTGAAGAAAATAAAAAATAATGATTGCATACTACATTCAAAAACAAAATTTGAAGAGATGTGCGAGTCTGCAAAAATGAGTCTTTGAGCCAGATTTCAACCCTGGTGACACTAAGATAAACATGCCTGTGAAATTAGAATATACACCAATATAAATCTGAGCATTACAATGTCTGTCACCAAACATAAACAATAAGGAACCTAGTGATGAGGACATCAAGAAAGCTATAAAAAAAAAAACCGCTGAAGAATGATAAAGTATCACTTGACATTGAGGCTGAACTTTTGAAATTAGCATAACCTCTCCTCAAATTTAAAAACAACTTTAAGTTTCACAAATTAAATATGGAATCTCAAGTGCATCCTAAAAAGTGAGGTGTTTTGTGCATTAATTCACTATGGAAACAAAAAAGTAACCCCACCAAAACCCTCCCACATACAGAGGTATCTCAATTGTATCCATTATGGTGAAGGTACTAATGAACATTATATTAACTCAGCTGTCCCCGTTCTATGAAAATCATTATAGCCAAGTTTTGCTTTTGCTCTGGTAAGGGATGTAATGATACCATAAGTGTCATCAAATAACTCTAGGAAATTGCTTACCTTTTCAATAGAAAATTGTATACTTGCTATGTAGGCTCACAGCAACATATGACCACATCAATAGACTTAATTTTTTCATTCATTAGAAATTGCCTTATAATCTTTGATTCCACTGAATGTTTTCACCTGATAGAAAAAACTATATTGGTCCACAAAGTCATACATTCTGATGAGGACCTCAATACCAGAACATTCCAAACATCATCTGGAATATGACAAATGAGAAAACCCCAATCTATTGAATCTCTTTCTACACTATGCTCTGCATATCTAAAAAGCACAGATGTGAAAAGATGGGCACTGATCACTTAAACATTCCATACCCCACATCCCAAATGAATCTAGTAATAGAAAACAGTGTTCCTACTTTGCCATCTCAGGTTAATGTACAGAGGATAAGTGAGTCTATGCTGATGACATAGACATTCATAATTGGGACATGAATGATCTTAAACAAAAAATTAGCACCCTCTACTAAATATTTCAAGACTCAAGATAAACCTTTCTAATGAAGAAACTATGATCTAGAATTGGAACAAAAGCAGTGATGGTAGCTATCCTGAACCCTTCATAAAATCTAGGAGGTGGAATTAGTAAATATTAAACATTTCAAATAACTTGCTGTATGGATTAGCTATAACAAATTTAATATTGGAGATAAGGAAATTGAACATAGAATAAGCTATGCTATGGGTAGTTTTACACAACATTACAAGCTCAAACAAAACCAAAACAGTAATGTCAAAACTCAAGTCTTTTTTCTCAAGTACTGTTCTTAAATAGTCTTGTCAGATTGAGACAATGGGAACATTATTATTATTATAAATAAAAATAAAATATTAAATAATAATAATAATAATGAAAATTATAAATAAAATAAAATTTAAACTTTGTTTAAAATAAATAAATAAATGAAATAATTAAATTACTCCCAGCATGCAACAGGGACTGTTCCTGTTGGAAATACAAATATTCTGCCAAGAGACGTGAGATTCAATCTCTGCCCAAGGACTGTTGTGATGACAACACATGTAACTTCCCTCTGTGATTGGACTTGTGATATTATGGAGTGACTTACTCCCTTTTATAATATGAGCCTTATCACAATTGTAATATAACACACACACACACACACACACACACATCAATAAAATTATATGAAATTACTATACAATTTAACATGTTTTTTCTTATTGTTATTTTATACATTTGTTTGTTCTATTTTACCTCATGATCACAAACTCAAACTGGTTGCCGCAAGACTTTCAGATGGAGAGCATGAATAGTGTCAAACACATTCAGAAAAATCTAAGCTGTCGGTTGGATACAACCACTTTCTCAGATTCATGGTCAGAAGTAGCAAGGCCGATTTTCCATAGAAAATTGTGTTCTGTTGCTAGAGAATCACAAACAAAGAACTGTACCAGATAACAGAAACCATATCACTTAAGGACTTTCAACAGCAGTAACAACTAAAATGGGTGGCACATGTAACTCAAGGAGAGAATAATGATATAATCAAGAAGTTGACATTTCACACTACCCCAAATAAAAGTCAAGAAAGGAAACTGCCATCAATACTGGAAAGAGCAATGACAGTTATTGGACTTGTGAAACCTATTTTTCATGAAAAATTGATTTTAAGAGAAGATTTTATACATTTCAACATAAAGCTGTAGTGTCTGCTTGGTCAATGAATGTCAATTATTTCCTTATAAAGAAACAGTTAATATTATGGTGAGTGAAGTTCTGCAGAAATCCAACACTGTAGATTATTTTTCAGTTTTTAGGATTATTAATTTAGAAATAATTCTCAAATAAGATTAACATCATCCAAATAGAAAGAAAATTGGGTCCACAGTTTAATAAAAGGAAAATTTACAGAACATTGTGGACTGCTATGATTAGCATCTTGCAAAAAATAATATTTTCACAAATTGCTCCATAAAAATGACTTTTGCCAGAATCAACATAATGAATAATTTTCATTTTAAGTTTTTCTTGAATGTCTGTTATTAAGTAAATGGTTTTATTTAAAGAAAAAAAGGAAAAGGTAATGGTGACTTTATTATTTTCTGTGTTATGTTCCTTCAGCAATCATGGCTTTTCACAACTTCCTATTCTTTGTAGCTCAAAATAATATTTGTCTCCTGAATCTCCCTCCCAATCACTGTACTGCAATCCATTTACCTAAGCTCATTAGTGAGGTTACTTACTGTTTTCCTCTCTCCTTCTTGCCTTCAATTTGTCCTGTGAGTATAAAATTCTCCAAGCCATCTTTTTGATTCTGAGAACCAGCATCCATTTTGTTGCTATTTTCCTTAAATCTTCTTAATTGCTCACATGCTTCATCTATGGTATTCTCATCATCCTTCTGTAGAACCATAACTGTTGCCTCAAGTCTCTTCTTCATCTGTAAAAAAAATTGTGGATTAAAGCATAGGTTAATGAATTTGGTGACATAGTAATTGCAAGTTCAATTGCTGATGCAGAAAGTGTGTACTTGGACCCTGTGGAAACAGGGTGAGCAATACTAAATAAGAATAAGATGTAAATGTCTCAAGACATGGACTGAGGAACCTGAATAATGTACTGACATAGATTAAATAAAGAATTCAGTTTGAGATTCCTTGTAGGTTACCTGGATTGGCAAGCACTTAATGTATTCTGGAGGGGGTTCATGGACGAAAGGTTGTGTTAATAGAAACAAAGATGAGCATAATAGTCTACATGTAAATTATGACAATAATAAAAACTCCTCATTTTACAAATTCAGACAGAAAGTATGTTATTTTTTAATGATTTTTACATGAAAATTGTGTGTGTATATATATATATATATATATATATATATATTTATTTATAGATGTGAGTTTGTTTGGATGGGTTTCATGCTTTTTGTGATCTCTGATATTCTATGCTTTTCTAATAAGTACCGTGCATATATATAAATAATTATATATATATATATATATATATTTGTTTTACACACTTTTCATATATATATATAAATTATATATATATATAAATAAATATATATATACTTAATAGCTCTGTTGTATTATACTGAGCACTTTTTTATTAACAGCAGCACTATATGTATGATATATATTAAAAGATTACTTAACTTTCACAGTTTCTTGGTAATGTCCATTCTTTAAGGTGTTTTTTTTTATTAAATATAGATATAATATATATGTATAGGGATAAAGAATAGATAAAATATGATTTAGAATCTAATAAAATGATAAGATAAGGACCTAATAGGAAACATAAATTTTAATGTTTCATTTTTATTTAAACTTCATCAGAAAATGTGATATGGAGAAAAAAGAACTTTTTAAAAAAATTTTTTCTGTTGCTTGTTTTACATTGCTTAAGTAGACCTCACATGTATTTGTCTTGTTCAGCAGTGTTAGTGTGTATAATTCGTGTGTGTCATGATATTTTTTATTTTATTTATTTATTTTTTTTTGTGTATGTAGTCCAAAATTGATCTATGAAGTGGCTGAGGCAGTTGGAGAAGAGGTTCATGCCAAACACATTGATTTCATGAAACGGCGTCAAATGGGAACCCACACAGGCATGAGTTGTTTTAGCCCTGTTATCAACATTGTCAGACACCCACTCTGGGGACGAATACAGGTAATGACGTCATTTCCTCATTTTTTTTTTTTTTTTTTTGTCATTATGCCAACCACTAAGTAAAATAACTAATATTTCTGTAATTTTTCATTTTAGCTCTTTGACTCTTTTGAAATTTGTGTGAAATCTGTTGCATCGTTCCTTGTGCTTTTTTTTTTTTCTAATTCTGAAGAGTAACTGAAAAAATTGGGCAAATATTTACATTTGTACCTGTGTAAAAAAAAAAAAAAAAAAAAAAATGGTGTATCAAAAGATGTTTTTTTTCCTTTGACACTGCTATTAATGTATATTTCTTCGGCAATATTTATTGTTTTAAAAAGTTATTTTTAGAAATTTAATAAAATATGAAACTAAATTCATTCATTATTTTTTCTTCTTGAGAATTGACGACAAAGAATTAAGCCTTATTTATTTTCATTGACTTCTATAAAGGCTACTTTATTTTTGGTAGGTTTTTAATTACAGGTTCTAAATCTTTTGGTTGGCAGACATCACTCATGACATAAAGTTAATTTTGACATTAACTGACATTAAAACATGCTTTAAATACATAAAAGTAATTTGTATTTCACAACTTTTTGCTATTTTCTTGCAATTAAAACTAGAATTTTAAACTTCAAAGAAAATATTTAAATTGCAGTTTTTTAAATTTAAAAAAAAAATCCTATTATAATTTTCCTTGTCCCTCCTTTTGTTAGTTTGCACAACCGTTATGCCCTGCCAATACCTCATAAATTATGGACTATTCCGTTTTGTATGATAAGACATATCAAAGACACTACATGATTTCAGTGAGTAAAATGAAAGAAAGAAGGGAATATAGACGTGTTTAAGTCAGTTTCAGTGAAATGGAAAAAGTTGTCAATTTCAAATCTTTTCATTTGTACCTGCTTACATTTTAAAATAATGACCAGTATTCCTATTTATAGTTTGGTTTGGTTTAAGATATATCAACCCCAATGGGTTATTTAATGCCAACAAGATTTTTAATGCTGGTAATATTTTTTCCAAAAATGTATTGCTGGTAATATTTTTTCTTCAAAAATTCATTGCTCATAATAATTTTTTGACAAAAATGTACTGCTGGTATTAAAACCTATTTTTACATTTTCATAGTGTTTTGACCCCAGTTTTGGGGGTTAACTGTTTGCCCATAGTTGGGGCCCTAACAGGTGCTACCACTCCAGGTCAGGGAACACCAGCAATTAAGAGGTGGTTCCATGCTCCTCAAAACTTTCTGATCAGAGGCCTTGCTGTTGGATGTAGTTTATCATCTTACCTGGGATATCCGGGACGTGGATTTAGTTTATTGTCTTATTTGAAGATTATAGCTATCAGGGAAGCAAGTAAGAGGAAGGGAGTTCCTCTGTCGGGAAGTGTGAGAGAAGAAGCTGTTGGAGTAGAAGAGGTGGTTATATTTAACTATTTTAATAGTGAAAGGGTGGGACCAAGATACCAACCTAGTAGCATGCTTAAATTCATGCAGTTGGAGTACCAGTGAAAGTAGCTGATAGTAAGCAGGGAGGATTCTCTATGGTGGATAAATGAGAGCATTTTTGTTTTGGAGGCATTAAAGTTTACAAGCCATTTCCTACCTGTCAACTATAGATTGGAGGTCCTTTTTGAGACCAATGGCCAGGTTAACTTTGTCAACAATGCTGGATTTACTGTTGAAGTAGGAGTAACTAGTAGTGTCATCTCTGTAGATGCCTACTTGAGAAGTGATGATATCAGGAAGATCAGAAACAATATAGGACCCAGGATAGAGCCTTAGGGAATATCAAAGGCCTGGTATACAAATTCAGTTATGGCTGTAAGCACATCAGCAGCAGATCGGGCAAAGTGAAAACCATATTTTTTGTCAGAAAGTATATCATGGGATGTAAGGGGCTTAACCACTTTGTCATTGAATAAAGCCTCAATGACATTACCAAAGAGTGGTAGGAGACCAATAGGATGGTAGTTAAATGGATCAGAAGGGTCTCCAGAGGTCTTAAAAACAGGGACAACAGATGAGGACTTCCAGCAGGCTGGAAAGCAAGAGTTATAAGACAATCTGGAGCCAGCTGAGGAACACATTTCTTTAGGACTACGCTGATATCCCATCATCACCACTTGCTTTATGAGAGTCTAATTTAAAGATGATGTCCAATACTGTTGATGGGGTTATGTTCATCTCACTCAATAGACCCTCAGTTCTAGGTGTGGGTACTCCGGATGAATTATGTGTTGAGTCTGATGAGAATTTCCAAGCAAAGTATTCAACCTTATCAGCTGAAGAAATTAGGACTTTGAATCGGTTGAATAAAGGAGGGATTGTAGATTTGCTGTTGTTCAGCATGCACTTTCAGAGCTGCCAATAATCTTTTGAACCAAACTTGTGAGATTCAATATGTTGTTTCATTCTATCAGCAAATAGTAACTTTGCTTCATCGAGGACAAGCTTGCACTCATCACAGGCAGACATCTGTTGCAATCAGACATGTTACTTCAGTACAAATGGAAGAAGTGATTCCTATGGGCTATAGCAGCTGAGCAAGCAACTGAGAACCAAGGAGATGAGTGCAATTTAACTTTATATTTTCTTGCTGGGATGAAAGCCTCAATGCCAGCTTTTACCCAGGAGGAGACCTCAGATGCACATTTTTGAATTGGCTGATTAAAAACCACATTCCAAGGGATGCCACAAAGGAAATCACGGAACCAGTCCCAGTCTGCTCATTGATAACAGAAAGATATTCTGTTAATAGGAGGTTCTTGGCTGCCATCTAGGCCCCACCCTTTTAATAGCCAAATGCAACTGCTATTTCTACTCCAACAGTTTTTTTTCTTGGACTCTTTTCCATTTCCTTGCTTCCCTGATAACCACAATCTTTAGAAATTTAAATACAATGTCAATCACCATCTTCTGTCTTCTTGAACCCCGTTCATTTCTTGTCCTTTCCACAATCCCCCGTCCTCTCAGAGTTCTCTTACACTTACACTCCTTGCACCACTTGGTGTACTAATGGTATTATTGCTTTGCTTGAGGTGAAATGATTAAAAAAAATCAATCCATATTTAAATGCTTGTCATTCTTTTTTATGTAAATTTTTCAAAGACTGCAATTTTTCTGTTATTTTTATGTGTGAAGATATCAGAAGTGATAAGTTCAAGACAACAATCCTTAAAAGTTTCAGTTGCTTTAAAGTGTGTCTATTCTCAAAGAGCTGCAATTCTGTATCATGTGTGCAGCTCTCTATAGATTTTTCTTAATTGGTTTTCTTTTGTTTTGTTTTTAAATCTCTTTTGCTTTACTTATTGTGACTTGACAATGTGACTCATTTTATCATTAAGGACTTTATACTTCATTTGATTGATTTCTACTAATTTCTTTTGTCATCTTGCTGGACCTTTTTCTTATATTGAAATTTCACTCAATACAAGCCATTTTGAATTATAAATGACTTCTGGTATTTTTCACATTTGTTGGTTTTGAGATCTTTTTAACCACATTTTTGAACTGCTTGCCTTCAATATCTTTCTGGTACCATTTTTGGGGGCTATAGATTGTTTAGAATGGGGGGAAAAAATGGTTTTAAAACTACTAGATTTTGCATTGTTTTCAGGAAGAAAGGCTTTGTGGTATTTTTTCTTTTTGTGTGACGCTCCACACACATGAATAGAATCATGGTTAAAGAGTGACTAGCATTCACTAGGGAATTGACAGATTTAAATCATTGTATTTTTAATTGTATTTCAACTAAGAAAGAATTAAAACTTAGTTTTACACTCAAATGAGGTTTATTATAAAAAAATGTTTAAATACTAACTTATATCATAAGGAACCAGACACATGAGTTTTTTTTCCTTGTGTCTTGACATTGTAGGTGAAAAATTCCAGAGATCATCTTTAATTTTATTTTTTTTAATAATTTCACCCCAGGCAAGGCAATATATCCACTAGGATGTAAGGGGTTACTGGGAGAATATGAGGGAAAAAAAACTACTATTAAGGAGAGACATAGAACATAAAAGAAATGAGAAGAAGACAGTAGATAACGATTGACATTGCATTTAAATTTTTGGAGATCAAAGCTGACTTAGAAGTCAAGAAGTGTGATAGAAGAGACTGTTAACATAAAACTTATGGTTACATCTTTAGCCATTTGAACTGTAAAATGATGAGATCTTGCTGCTAATCTATTATTGCTCTTAAATTCATAAAGTCTAGGTACCATAGTGGAAAGTGATATTTATTCTGTTTGATACAGAAATGTGGCACAAGGCCGAAAAGGGGATTGGGGAAAGGACGGTCTTCTTCTGTCTTTAACTATAACTTAGCTAGCTGCATTTTCAAACATAAACACTGACCCAAACGCACTTAAACAATATTCCTTACACCAAAACAACACATTCATTCATTACCTTGGTTCTACAACCACCATAATACCTCTTTGTCTGGTGGTACCATAGTGGAAAGTTTGTCAGAACAATTACCATGAAAGTATTTATAGAAAAGGCACAGGAAAACTGTATTATGGTGGTAGTAAAATGACTGGGTTGGTTTTTGATGTCGTTTTAATACCATTTTTGAATTTCTCATCTTTTAATAACTTTCTGGTATCAATTTTGGGGGTTAGAACTTCTTTAGAACTTGAAAAATTTTAAAAAAAATTTAAAATGGTGGATTTTATTTAACATGCTAAAAAGGCTAAATCATAAAAACATGATAATTTTGGATCCCCTAAGTGTTAGACCTTCAAATTTTGGGGATTTTCTACTTTTCAATGATTCCTACATTTGGTGAAAAGATTTCAAGGGAATCCATAAGGTTTGGGTGACATTCCTGACTTTTCATTTTTTTTGATGACTTCATGTTGATTTAATCAGGTGCAAACATGCAAATTCATGAAAGTGAAAGAATTCAATAGATTTACCTACTGCTGTATATTTCATTTATTTTGTATTTTTACAGGAAACGTATGGTGAGGATCCTTACTTAACAGGCGTCTATGCCACTGGATATGTGCAAGGATTGCAGGGGCCCAACCCCCATTATGTTCGTGCAACTTCTGGTTGCAAACATTTTGCTGCATATGCTGGGCCTGAAAATCGACCTGTGTCTCGACTTGGTTTTAATGCACAGGTAAAGTTAATTGTAAATGAAAGCACACCTGAGAATTGGCTTGCATTTGATTTCAATCTCATCATGTTTGAAAATCAGTATTTTTTTTCTGAAAAGATTTTTATTGTCTTATGAATATTGCATTTTGAACAAAACTGAAACTATTTAAAAAGTATTATATAGTTTATCTGGAGATAAAATGGAATTTTGTATTTTATAAAAGGTCATATTGCCTTGCAAAAGGATATTGGTTTTATTTTAAAGTATTATTTTTTCCATCAATTAAAATGTTGTAAATTTGAAAATGGAGTGGATAAATGTAAAGGAAAAAAAAAAGCCCTAAATGTACTTGTAGGTAATATTTGATTAAATAACTGTATTTTGTCTTTGATTTAATGATTATTCACAACATTTTGGTGACTATTTTAATCATTAAAATAGTATTTATATAATTTTAATGGTTCATTCAATTATTATTTACATAATTTTTATGGATATTTTAATGATTATTTACATTATTTTAATGGCACCAACATTATTTTAATTGTTATCAAATGATTATTACTATTAATTTAAGACTATTTTAATGGTTAACATAACTTAAAAATAAATCATGGGAAAATTGCAGCCTGAAGCCAACAGATAATAAACAAGGGGGTCGAAGTCTGGGGAGCTAGGTGGCCAGATGTAAGAAGTGATGTGGTTGCAGAAATTGTCTGACAGCGATGACTGGGTTCACCTGCTTGTGTGGCATGATTTAGTGTCCTGTTGCCAGACATAGGGTCTTCTAGCAGCCACCCTCTTGACCCACAACAGCACTACCTCCTCAAAGTACTTGATGTAGGCCTCTGTGTTGAGTCTGAGTCCCTGTGGGAAGATCAATGGAGGCATAATGTTGCTATCACTAGTGGCAACTCCAAACACTTTTGTAATCACATTTAAACTCACCCAACTCTTTCTGAATCCTCTGCACTGTCCTCAGATTGACACCCAAACACTCTGAAATGTTTGTATTGTAGATTCTGGTGTGAATGCCAAGCAGTACAGCATGCCATTTCCAAATTTCTGGTGGAGTGAATTGCATCATGGTTCTCTTTTTCTTACAGCTGGTGCCCAACTGACCCTATTATACTGTGCGGTTGACAAAATCAAAAACAAGCAATGCACATGCACAAAATTAAGAATATAATATGGTGGCAATTTATCCATCACACCCTGTAGATAGTGGCCTATGATGTTTTGTTTTGTTTAGCGGCATATCAACTCCTTATGGGTCATTTAATGGCAAAATTTAATTTTCTGGGAGTATTACTAGTTTCTTTAACAAAAAAATGTATTTCTGGTAATTTTTTTTTCTTTCACAAAATACTTGCTGGTAATATTTTTTTTTCCTAACAGAAATTTATTGCTGGTAATTTTCTTACTATAAACATTTTTATACTTTCACATTGTTTTGACACCAGTTTGGGGGTTAACTATTTGCCCATAGCTCGGATCCTGGGTCAAGGTGGATTTGGTAACAATGGCAATTAAGAGGTGGTTCCATGCTCCTCAAAACATCCTGATCAGAGACCTTGCTGCCTGATGTAGTCTATTGTCATATCCTGGACAGATGTATGAAGTATTCAGATAAAATAAAGAATAAAATGCTACACAGTTAGATTTGACCTTCTGTAAATAGTTGATCTTTATGGCCTAATTGCTATAGCAGAGAAATAGGTATACAAATTCAAATTTTGATTTTGCCGCTTAGCACTAACATCTATTTAAAATTTGTTTTAAATGTGATAAGCTAGCAATTATAAGGCTCAAATATGAATTCAATGGATATGCTATTTCTATATAAAGAAAATTTATTCATATCCTTATGGACTGATGTTGAAAATTCATTTTTTTTACTCTTGAAGAAAAATCAAGAAGTTGTTTCTTTTTCTAGGGACCATGTTTTTACATGGCATCATATAAGGAATAGAAAAACTCAATATGACATTACCAGCAAATATGTTTTTTTTTTTTTTTTTTCACTTCACTGATGTAGGAGAGGCCCTGATTTTTTTTTCCTGTGCTATATGGCTCCAAATGTGATAGAGCTGGAGCATGCATAGGAGTTATCTCCATGGTGCTGCTCTGGAAATGCTTTCTGTGCCCATGTCATACCCTTTGGAAAGATACGAATTCATCTCTTCTCCATCCTGGGTAAGATGTTAAACTACATCCATGTTTTGGGTAAGACGATAAACTACCTCCAACAGCAAGGCCTGTGATCAGGAGATTTTGAGGAGCGTGGAACCACTTCTTAATTGCTGGTGTTCCCAGGTCCACCCTGACCTGGGGTGGTAGCACCTGTTAGGGTCCCAGCTATAGACAAATAGTTAACTATTACCAGCAATAGTTTTTTGAAAAAAAATTATTACCAGCAATACAATTTTGAAGGAAAAATATTACCAGAAACAGATTTTTGACAAAACAAAATATTACCAGCAATAAAAAATTGTTGGTATTAAAAAAACCCATTAAGATTAATATGCCATAAAACAAAATAAACCAAACCAATCATCTCTTCTCAATTATGGGTAAATGTGATAGAAGATGGATATTCAATTTCTTAGTCAAAACCTTGTCTGACTGGTCTAATTTGCCGGTGGTGTTGGTAACGTTTAAAATAAAATAAACTGAAGTGACATTTTATAACAAGTGTAAAAGGGTTTTATTGCATTTTTTTTTTATTTATCATTTCACCCCAAGCAGGACAATAATGCCACTAGGACACAAGGGGTTACTGGGATTTAAAGAGAATGAGAAGACTAGTGAGGTGAAAGGACAATAAAAGAATGGAATTCAGGAAGACAGAAAATGGTAATTGACATTGCATTTAAATTTTTGAAGTGCATACACTTACATGTTAATAACTTGGGAAAGGTATGAATCCATCTCTTCTTCTCAACTATGGCTAAATAACAGGACTGATTGGGCCCTATAGCCTTGGATGGCAATGAGTCTAGGAGAAGAAAAACTCTGAATTTAAAAAACCCTATTGCTTTGTAGGTACAACCTCTTTAGGCAAAGGCTACAAGATAACTTCAAAAAAACCAATCCACATCGCATGTCAATTTGGAGAAAGAAACTGCCCCTCCCGCCACATTTCAATCTGTGGTACAAAATAATGGACTCCTCAGGCTTAGTTTAATGGTTTGAACAAACCCAAGAATGGGACACAGCATGATGCTGTGGACCTCTCAGATTTCGGGCTATTCACCTATGTGTGTATTACTCATGACATTTTAGATGACAGTGAGGTGATAGGGAAGTAAGAAATTGGAAGGGAGTATCATAGGGGAGAAGTGTGAGAAAAGAAACCATTAGAATAGAACATATGAATACATCTAGCAATGTCAGCATTAAAACAGTGAGACCTAATTGCCAATCAAGTAGCAGTGAAGGCACCAAGGAAGAAAGCTCGTCAGAACAATTGACATGAAAATATTTGTAGAAAAGACAGAGTGAAGTCATGTCATGTTAGTTTGTGGCTTATAAATACATTTTTTTTTTTTAACATTTTCAAAATAAGTCATAAATTCTGATTTTACTATGTGACAATTGATCAAGTTTATTTATACAAAGTTGAAAATTGAATTTTCCTTGAAAGAAATTCACCATTCTTTATGTTCAGGTTTAGAATAAGTATTTATATCCTTTAAACTGATTCCAGGTATCTGAAAGAGATCTTCGACTTACCCATCTGCCTGCCTTCCAAACCTGTGTAGAGGCTGGAACTTATAATATTATGTGCAGTTACAACAGGTAAGTGTGTATGTATTTTCTCTTCAGGTTTCCTCCACCTCAGAAAGTATCTTATCTGCAAATCATTAATGATTCTATATTTCTGGAAAACTTACTTTAAGTCAATTATGGTTAATTTTTGAACTTGGAGTTTATTCATCTTGTAGCCCTTTTTTATCACAATTTCCAAATCCTTCTTTTAGAATGTAAGGTGATTCTAAGAGAATCCTACCAGGATTCATTATTGGCAGCCACAATCTTAACAACAAAAGATATGTAGATGACACAGTGCTGATAGCAGACACGGTAAGGAAACTACTAGAACTCCTACAGAAGTTACTTAAGGAAAGAGAGAAGAAATGACTAAATATCAATTACTAGAAGACAATGCATGGTTGTCAGCAAAAGGAACAGCTCAACATGCAACTTATGAATTGGAGATACCAAAATCAAACAAGTACAACAAGTGTTTTAACAGAGGATGGAAAGTGCAACACTGAAATCTAAAGGTTCATTGGAATAGTGAACGGTACCTTCCAAAAGTTAAGCAAAGTATTAAGAAACAGGATAATCCATTAAAAACAAAAAATAGAGTACTGTACTGTTATGTAATATCAGTCTTATCTCCTCACAGATGAAGAAGAGTCTTGAGGTGATAGAAATGTGATTCTACAGAAGGATGCTGAGAATACCATGGATAGGACATGTGAGCAATAACAAAGTTTTAGAGAAAATAGAAACAAAAAGTACCTTTATACTAAAAATCAGTTGAACATTAGTTTAAATTTCTAGAGCATATAATGAGGAAAGAAGGCTTGGAAAAATCTGACCCTCACAAGGCACATTGAAGGCAAGAAGGATAGTGAAAAACTATGCATAACCCCTTGCCTAACGAGCTTGTGTAAATGGATGGCAAAAGACAATTTATTAATAGCTATAAAGGACAGGAAATTATGGAGAGCCATGAATTGCTCATATCCTAAAGAAGCATAGTGCTATGTTTCAGTTCAGATTTGAAAAAGACATCCTACGTTGCAAGTTAAACATCAGGAACTTAAAAATCAAATAGGTGAAGAAATTTATCTATCCTGGTCGCTTACTAACAAATGATGACGAATATGACATTGAAATTTGAAGATGCATAAGACAGTGGAAATTGCCTTTCAAAAACTAAGCAAGCAAAGCATTAAGAAAAATTTTGTTTGAAACAAAAGAGTGGGGAAATGCTATTTAATATCTGATCATGGCAGTTAGGGCTGGAGCATCTCTTCACAAATTGTGAAGAGATTTTAAAGCAACAGAGATGTGATTCTGCAGAAGGATGCTGGGAATGCTATGGATGGAGCATGTGAGTAACAAGGAAATTTAAGAGAACTGGAATTACTAGTAAACTTATACTTACAATTAGAAAGCGACATGAAATTTCCGGAACTTCTAATGAGGAAAGAGGAGATTTCCAATGTATATCTGACTCCTGAGTGTTTTAAGCATGATCTTTACAAAATCCAGATCAGATCAAAAATGGAATATTGCTGCCATATCCAGGATGGAGCTGCCCATTCTATACTTTCCTGTCTTGATAGTTCAAAAGTAACTATGTGGCCTTGTGGGTGATGAATTATTTTCCACCATACAACCCCTTTCCCACAGACAAAACATAGTGAACGTCTTGCTACTCAATTTCTATTTCCATAGCAAATATTCTGAGATACATTACTTGGTTCCACCAGCCCTGACGTTTACAACTGGGACCCACCATGCCATGTACATAAGGATGAATCATCCCCATGCCCTTTGTATTCCATTAGTAAGGAGTAAGTTCCACTTGAACTGCTTCTTTCCAAGAACTGCTTTGTGGAACAGACTCCCAGCAGGATGCTTTCCCAATCACTGCAATGTTGACTCTTCAAGTCTAAGGTTAATCGTTATCTTTCCTGCATAACCCCATGAACTTCACTTCTTGCCTTTTCTTATGCTTATACAATACCACACAGTAATCCTCTACATTGAGTTGCTCTTGGGCCTTGTATTGGGTGAAAAAGAAAAGCTCACCTTTTGCCAAAGAGATTGGAGGTGGTTTCCCATTGCCTTCTCCACATTTAATGACTGTTCATTCTGAATATCAAAAAAAGATTTTCATTGGCAAATTTATAGTTTGATGGCAGAGGATTTAACATCTAAGAGTTATTTTTTAATTGTTTCACTCCAAGCAAGGTGGGAATGCCACTAGTGTGCAGGGGGTTACAGAGAGTGAAAGAGAAGACTGAGAATAGGGAGGATTGAGGAAAGGACAAAAGATGAACAACAATCAAGAATATAGAAGATGGCAATTGATGTTACATTTAAATTTTTGAATATTGTACTTATCAGAGAAGCAAGTAAACAGAAGGGAGTTCCACAGATGGGATGTTTAAATTCATGTAGTCCGGGCACCAGAGAAAAAAGCTCATCAGAGCAGTTGTCATAAAAATATTTATTGAAGAGACAGAGGGAAGCCACGTCACATTGGTGTGAAAGTGACTAAAATCAAGTAAAAGCAGTTATAAACTGATTGGTAGTTATATACCATCATGATGATTATTATGCATTGACAAAGAAAATTTAATCTTTGAAAAATATAATTCATTAACCCAGTTTGCTATTTAAATGTTTTAAGGAAACTTTGTGTAATTTCAAGCTATATATGTCAAAAACACTTTATTGAAAGAGAAAGAGGACTTGGAGAAAGGAAAGAGGACTTGGAGAATTTGATACTCAATTGAAATTTTGAAGGCAAGAGGGACAGGAAAGCAGTGAATAACTTACCTAATGAGCGTGTGTAAATGGTTGACAGAACACAGTTTGGAGGGATAGCAAAAGGGTTAAACTTTACTAAGGTCTACAAAGGATAGGAAGTTGTGGAGAGCCATGATCGTCTTTAAAGAACACAGCTCAAGAAGAAGTTGGATATTAATTCCTGTGTCTTCAAACTGAAATGTTGGTCCCTAGCATTTGTATTATAAATTTAGTAGCACTTAGTCCTATTTTGGAACTAGTATATACCTATAATTGTGTACAACATTCAATTTGTCCATGCATTGAATATTGCTATCTCATCTGGTCAAACATGACCTGATGCTTTTATGTACTTAGGGATAAAATCCAAGGAAGAATCTGCAATGTTATCAATCATGACCTGGCATCTCTGCTTTAGTCACTTTCTCACTGCTGTAATGAAGCTTCCCTCTGCCTTTTCTATAAATATTTTCGTAGTAATTGTTTTGATGAGCTTTCCTCTTTTGTACCTTGACTTTATGAATTTAAGCATATTACTAGATTGGCAACTAGGACTCCTCATTTTAGAGTTTTTTAATTGGTATCACCCTAAGCAAGGCAGTACAGCCACTAGAATGCAAGGGCTTACAGAATGTGGAGGAATTAGGACCAGAAAAATTAATAATCAGGAGAAAGAAAAAATTGCAGTCAGGGGGACAGTAGATAACAATTGACATTGCATTTAAATTTCTGCAGATTAAAGTTGGTTGGAAAGCATGGAGCCATGAGGGAGTTCTGCAAGCGAGAAGTGTGAGAGAAGAAACTGTTAGCATAGAGGTTACTGCTATATCTAGCTAGCTCAAGTGTAAATTGATGAAATCTCGCTGCCAGTCTTACATTACACTTACATTCATACAGTCTAGGTACCATAGTGAAGAGCTTATCTGAACAATTATCATGAAAGTATTTATATAAAAAAAAAAGGCACAGAGAGGCAGCCTTACAGCAGTGGGCAAGTAACTAAAGCTGAGATGTAAGATCAAGACCAATAATATTGCAGATTCTTCTTTGGATCAAGGAGCTTCAGGAAAATTGCAGGGGCACTGGACCATATATGGCAGCAATATTCTAAGCATAGGTGAATGGTAGACTTATAGGTATGCAAGATAGATGCCAGAGAGAAAAATTCTCTCTCTTGACACAGTGAACCGACTTTCTTATCAGCTGATCTGACAATAGATACAGTGTAGTCCTTCCACCTCATTTCAGCTGAGAACGTTAGTCCTCAAAGGCATGATGAGTCACTTTCTTGGAGGATAGCATCAGCCATGCTTATGGAAGGCATAGAGGGGCTTCTCAGATGATTAACAGAGAACAGCTTAATTTTGGAGGCATTAAAATTAACAAGCCATCTTTTTCCCCAGTTAACAATGACCTTGAGGTCGTTTTGTACATAGTCAAGGTCAAAATGGCAACCTAACTGATCAGCTTTATTATCAAGGCAGGAGTAAATGGTAGTGTCATCAGCACAGATGCCAAGTTGGGAGCTGATGACATCAGGAAGGTTGTTAATAAAGATTAAAAACCATGTAGGACCAAGGATGGACCTCTGGAGGACAACTGCGTTAGTACAAAAGGATGTAGATGAGTGGACATTTCAGATAACTTTCATTTCACAATTTGATAGGAATGACAAGATCAGCTCAAAAACCTGCCTAGAGATGCCATAGCTTCTCAGCTCGTGGAGAAGACCTAGTTCACCAGAGTTCTTAAAATCAAGTGACAATGACTTCCAGCAAGCAGGAAACAATGAGGCATTTATGATACAGTTTAGAGAGAACAGGAGCCAGCTGGGAAGCACAACTTTTAATGACTATTATAGAGATGCCATTAGGTCCACATGCTTTGTGAGGCTAAAGGTTACAGATGATAGTAGAAACTATGAAAAGCGTTATATGCATATCACTCAACAGACATTCAGTTGAAAGTGAGAAGTTAGGCAGGTATACTCCAGATGAGTCAAGAGTAGAGTTTGAGGAGAATTTATGAGCAAAGCATTCAGCTTCATCAGCAGAGGATAAATTGATTGAAGAGGTAGGGAATAGAGACCTTACATTTATTTAGTACCCTATTATAGCGATGCCAGTAGTCACAAATGCCAAAGTTTTTACAGGCTATGTGGTGCCTTATTCTCCCAGCAAACAGGGACTTAGTTTCTTTGAGGACTTGCTTACATTTTTAATGCACAGTAGCAAATAGGTACCTGTCTCTTGCTTGAGATCTGTTCCACTGGTATAGCCGGAAATAGTGGTTCCTGCATGCTGTGGTGGCTAAGCATGCTGGTGTGAACCATGAAGATGATTGTGGTTTCACCTAATATCTCCGAGAAGGGGTGAAAGTGTCATGCCAATTTGACCTAAGAAGAAATCTCATTGGCGCATTTTTCGATTGGGAGGTTGAAGATATCAGTCCAATGGGCATCAGGAAGAAAATCCTGGAATCAGCAAGCTGGTACCTGAAAGAGGTCTTATGGATAGGGTGTTCCTGGATGCTTTGAAGGAGATATCATTAGTTACCACAGAGTGATCCAAGTTACCAAGAGGGCAGTATTCAGAAGTTTTGCAAGATCGAGGAGAGGAGGTAAGAAATAGATCTAATAGAGAAGCATGTTGCTTAGTTTGGCTAGGGAAACAAGTGGGGTAGTCTATGATTTGGGTGTTGGAATGGGCAATGGAAAAATTTAATGTCTGTATACTGACAACATCAGTATCTTTAGAATGTTTCAGCCATGTGGTGAGCATCTGAAGATAATGATGTTCACAAATGGATGAAGAGAAAGTGCCTTTTCTATACTGCAGTCTTCAGAAGAGGGGGAACACTAAAGGAAAACGAGATCGCTGGCAGAGTTTAGTAGTGAAAGACTGAAGCACATGAAAGAGTAGTCAGCAGCATTGAGAGACAATTCCCTGGTCATTGGAAGATTATTCATGCATGTGAATGCTAGAATCTTTTCGGCAAAGGGGAAGATACCCTAGAATTTATTGGTCGCAAGTTGGTTTCATGAAGAGCAAAAATATTTGGCAATGGTTCTAGGAGGAAGGATTCTGCACTGCAGGGACACTTACCAATGCACAGCATAACACTACAAGTACTCCGATTATATGCGACTGTTGATTGGAGAAGCCTTTTGAAATTGCTACATGTAACCATAAGTTCTATGCTAACAGTTTCTTCTCTCGGTTGTGGTACTCTCTTTCAGCATTCTGCTCTCCACTCAACTTTTAGCTTTAAATGCAATGTCAATTGCTATCTTTTCTCTTCTTAATTCTTATTTTTTTTATTTTTCTCTTTCCTTAATGTTTTTCTTTTTCTCATCTTCTTTCACATATCTACAGTACATTAGATATATGAGTTTTCTAAATAAGTTAAATCTTAACACCCCTAAAATAAAAGAAATGGGATCTTCCTTAACCTCAACATCTCAAAATATCAAATTGGTCTAGACTTATAAATTAAGTGAATCAATTTCTAAGTGAATTAATTTCTTGAATCTTAGTGGCTTTATTGCCCTGCTTGGGATGAAATAAAAAAACAATAAGACCTGTTTTGTGATGTATTTTTATATTATTATATATTGGGCGTGCTGTTTAGATTAAGGCTATAATACCCAATTTGACGTGCTATTTAACCAGAGCTGGATTAATACCTTTCTCAAAATGTATTTAAATGTAAATGAATGTAATGAACCCAGCTGGAATTTGAACTCAGTTCTCTGATTTCCAAATCTAAGCCACTATTCATTCTGCTGTTCTATTTCTGTTTTAAATGTTAGCAAATTTCTTTTTCAGCGTCAATGGCATACCAGCCTGTGCCCACAAACGTTTGCTTACAGACATTTTACGCAAAGAATGGGGTTTTAAAGGTTACGTTATTAGTGATGAAGGTGCCATTGAATTTATGTTGATTTGGCACGGCTACAGAACGACCCCAACCAAAATTGCTGCAGCTAGTCTTAACGCAGGATGTAATCTTGAACTGTCAGCCGCTCTCAAAAAACCTTTTTATTTTGAGCTTGGTAAGTATTTCATAAAGATAAGATTTAGTATTATTTTTAAGGAAGACTAAAAACTTAGTACATTAGTAAATTTTATTGTTTTAGTTTAGCAATGATTTCATTTGTCACTTGAAATTCTTGAGTTGTGTGAGTTAAGCTTTTTTAACAGCACCATCTTAAAATATTGACATATAACAAAATGACAGCATTAACAGCACCATCTTAAAATGTTGACATATAACAAAATGACAGCATTAACAGCACCATCTTAAAATGTTGACATATAACAAAATGACAGCATTAACAGCACCATCTTAAAATATTGACATATAACAAAATGACAGCATTAAAACTCCAAACTTTTTCAAAATATTAGTTGAGAAATATATGATTAGAGAGTCTATCTTTATCTACTAATTGAAATTATATTCATATCTAGAATTTGACTAAGTTTACAAAAGGTTAGCTGTATGAGGCACTTAATATATCAGCAATGTTTGGCAAGACAACTGTAAAACCACTTCTATATGGCTATCTATCTATCTATCTATTTATATATATACATATATATATATAATAATAATAATTTTTTTTTTAATATATAATCATCGCAACACAGAAATTCCCATGATTCAAAACGGAAACTTCAATTTAAATTCAATCATAAAAAATTAAACTTAAAATACAAAGTTCCGTTACATTATCAAGTAATGCTAAGAATAACTTTTTACAAATTGATTCACTTAATTTATAAGTCCAGACAAATTTGATATTTTGAAATGTTGGGGTTAAGGAAAATTCCATCTTTTTTATTTTAGGGGTGTTAAGATTTAACTTATTTTAGAAAACTCATGTATCTAATGTATTGTAGCTATCAAGTTGGTCAAGTCAAGGTGGCGGTTGGGGTATCTGTCTATTGATTGAAACTTCCTTTTTCCAAGTAGAAATTTGTGGTAGTGTCTAAATAATATTTAGCTTTTCAAGTATGCACAAAGGACATGGGTCATTTAAAGATCTACAAGTTCTTGTTTTTTTTATTAATTTTACTGTTGGTGTTTTATTGGTTTCTTTTAAATGCCAGAAATATTTAGATAAGGATGTCTGGTTGCAGTATTTAGTATTATTGAAGGAACTTTAGTGTTGGTTCCATCTTAATTTAAATTCATTCTTTGTGCATCCTACATAGACTTTAACATAATTAGGATTCTCAACATATTGATGACATTTTGAATTGATAAACTATGGATTTTATATGACATATGCAATAAAGGTCATATAAAAATTGTGTAAAGTTAAGTTTCTGAAAAATAAAAATTTAATAAATCAAAGAAATGAAATAGCAAGTTTTTGTAGACATTGCAAAATTTTTTCCTTAAGTAATAGCTAATTTAAAAAAATAAATGAAACTAACATATTTATATTTGATCATAAATAAAATAGTTTATGAATACATAATTAGATCCTAATATATTAATTTGAACATTAGCATATATGTACTCAATTAGTAAATAAATTAAATATAATATCTTAAGTCGGTGTAAATAAAAATATAAATATTAAAAATGTGACTAAATAATATTTGAATGCCTAACTCCTGACCCCCTTTGAGAAAATCGTAATTGAAATTTATAAAAATAAAAATTAAATAAAAAATTAAAAAATGAAATTTTTTTTTGGGGGGGGGGAAGCACATATTTCCTACGAAATTACCTAAACATTCTGGGCGGTAAATGTAATTAATATTTTAGCATTTCATAATATGTTATTGTTTACTTTAAGATATTTTTTGTGAGCAGAAATGATTGTGAAAAATTTTCAAAGGTGTGTGTTTAATAAAAAAGTAATTTAGACTTTGGTAACCAGAGACTTCTTTGTGGCTGAATGGTTAACAGCACATCAGATCAAATGATAGTTCCCATAATTGGTTACAAGTTTGATTCCTGTCTAAGAGCCCATATTTTTCATGAAATTTATGGTAAATGTAATTAATACTGTTTAATCAAAAAACAAAGCATTTACTTAAATAAATTATATTGATAAAAACAATGTATAAACAGAAAATATATATATAATAATATTAAATCCGTGAGTGGGAAGGATAATCCAAGTCGGTCTTTTTAATGTAAAATATTAAAAAGATAGATCCATAAAGAGAGCTCAATGTATAGTATATAGAGCAATATAATATACATCAAGGAAAAACACATCATTGAAAACATGGTTATAAATTATAATTTATTTAAACGGGTAAGTTTTTAACACCTGTCTAATCAAACTGAAATTACTAATGGTTTAAATTTATCCAGAATATTTTAAAACACACGATAACAGATAGCCTTGACACTTGACAGTGAAAATGTATTTTCTGGGTATTTATAATATTGAAGACATATGTAGTGGGGGAGGTATTGTTAGCTTTCAACCTGATTTTCGTGCGTGGTGGTTGGAAGAACATAGTAACAGCTAAAATACTAACACATTGGTTACAGGTTTGATTGTGTTGTGACATATGCAAAGTGTGACATTTTTTTTTTTTTTTTTTTGTATAACTTTTTATATATATGTAAGGATGCAAGCTCTTAAGTGATTTTATTATTAATTGTTTTTATTGTTGGTTATTTTTGTTTTATGAGTCTTCCTTCAAGTATCATATGTCTGGGTTTTTTTTTTTTCGATTTAATTTTTCTCATTTTTTGATATATATATATATCACTATAATCATCATTTTAGTGATATATATATTCAGACTTTATTTTTAGTGGCTACCAGTATTTAAGTAGATGATCTTTTTTTTTTTTTAAAAACAATGTTTATTTTGTCTACTGGTGGGTGAGAAATAAAGAAAATGTACTAACCTGGCACAAAATAACATCTGAAGTATTAAAAAAAATATGTTGGATTAAAAAATAAAATGCGTTAATTCCTTGTTTATATATATATATATATATATACAATTTTTCCCAATTCAAAAAAAATTCCTGTTCTGCAGGAAACCTCAAAACATTGTGAATTTATTTTCCTTTTGAAAGATGATGCCTTGAGGAAGGGTCTTGTGACTGAAAAGACAATCCGTGAAAGTGTTAAGCCTCTGTTTTACACCCGGATGAAACTTGGTGAATTTGATCCGCCACACATGAATCCTTATTCGCATTTAAACATGTCTGTTGTACAGAGTCCAGCTCATCAGAAACTGGCAGTGAAAGCAGCTCTTCACACGTTTGTCTTGTTGAAAAATGATCATAATATTCTACCTCTCAAGAAGGAGTTTTCTCGTATTGCAGTAAGTAGCATTTAAAGTACTTGGAGGAAAAAAAAAAAAAATCCCTCAAAAATTGTTCAGTTAATAAAAATTATCTCCCCCTTAGTACACAGCATGAATTATCTCACCTTTATACAATATAGGAATTATCCCCCTTTAATACACTGGTTGCTCTGAAAGTAATACCTCCTAATTTATTATTTTGACTCTGATAGAAGTTGGTGGTATGTTAGATGAGGTTGAGCCTTTCCACCTATAAGCATAATTTTTTTTTTTTGCCTTGTTATCGATAAGTATGGTAGATTGACGTGAGCTGAAATAGTTTTTAGAGTGAGCGGCCATAGTTAAATATAAATAAATAACTGGCAAAACTGCCTAACAGATTTGAGAAAGCTTGCAATAAACAATTACAAGAAAAGAACAGGACAAAAAACAATATAAAGCAAGCAAACAATATATGCAAGGCAAATTAACAATAATAAGACAAAGCAACAGTAATATGGCAAAAAGTTCATAAACTAAGAATTGGGGTTGACACATGGCAAATTTGGATAAACAAATTTAGTGTTCTGACTTCAAGACAGACCAAAACTAGGTCAAATGAAACCAAGAAGTGGCCTATATTATTGGCTAGGAAGAAATCTCAGCATGTGTGCTTCTGCTTATAAATTGCAGAAGGGAAGGTATTTTGCAGTTATTCTTACTGCTGATTGGAACTAACATAGCTGATTTCAGAAATAACTTGACAAAAGATGGCTTATTAATTTTAACACCTCCAAAAAAAAAACTACCCTCTTTTAAACATCTTAGAGAACCTTTTTTGCCTTCAGTCTGCATGGCTGATGCTAACCTTGAGAAGAGTGACACATTGCACCTTTTCTGGCTAACATTTTCCCCTGGCATGAAGTGGAAAGATTATATTGAATTAACTGCTAGGTCTGCTGCCACAAAAGTTGGTTCACTGTGTTATGCTAGAAAATCTTTCTCGCCAGAATCTTACACATTTATAAGTCAACCATTCCCTGATGTTTTTCTCAGACTCTTTCACTCTCAGTAACTGCTTGCATCTTAGTGGCTTTATTGCCTTGAAATGATTAAAAATAAATAAATAAATACTAGTCTGGAGTAATAGATGGTACTTACTAGCACACTGGTTTGAAGTATCTCAAAACCTTGTGCCTGGACAATTTAGTGGGGTGATTCTTAGTGACTTGCAAAGCCTGGAGACTCAAGGAGCTCTTAGAACCAAAAAAGCCTGGATACTCAGTAGGTGGACATGCAAAATCTGGACCCTTGGGGTGATGAGTTCCTGTGGACTTGAAAAACATGGAGCCTCAGGGATTGCTTCTTAGAGGCCCCATATATTTAAATTCTGTATTGTTAGTATCATTTCTAAAATACTTGAGAGGTTTTAGACTTCTAGTTTCTTGATTAGTGACTTAATTCTAATTGTCTGCTAATTCTCTAATTTGTTAATTTTTGTTAATTTATTAATTTCCAAAAACCAAAAAAAGTACTAAGAAACATGAAAATTTCCAAAGAAACAATGTAAAGAGTGCTGAACTGCTATGTAATATCAGTCTTTCTATATGGCAGTGAATGCTGGACAATTTCCTCACGGAAGATTTGAGGCAACAAAGATTTGGTTCTATATTGAGAATATCTTCGACATAACATGTAAGGAACATTGAAGTCTTAAGGAAAATGGTAACAAAAAGAACAATTATACATAAAATTGGAAAGAGACAGCTAAAATTTTGGAGGCATATAATGAGAAAGGAAGCCTTGGAAAAATTAACACTCACAAGTCATATTGAAAGCAAGAGGGACAAATGAAAGTATCGAGTAGTCTAGCTAATTATCATGAGTAAATGAATAGTAGAACAGGAAGGGAGAAAGATAGTAGAAAAAAAAAAACAGAAACAGATATTGCTAATAACTACAAAAGATAGGAAGTTGTGGAGAGCTGTGATCACCCGTATCCTGAAGGGACACAAAATGTTTTAACCTTTAGATTTTACTTGATGAAATTATTTTCTATTTTACTTTACAAATTCTCTGATAGAAAGAGTTGCTTTGGCACTCCGATTCTTGTTCAGCTGATTATTGTTTTTATTCTTATGAAGTCTCTTATGAAGGGTACATTTGACTGATTTCTTTTAAATTATTTACTAAATCTGATGAAAAAGATCAGTGCACCTCCTAGTATCTTGATTATAATGGCAACTGATCTCTCGTCTGATCAAACTCTCACAGCACAATGTGGAAAAGACTGTTTGGTATCATTCAGTATATCTGAAACTAAACAAGTAATATTTCCTCACTACTGCGCAGACCCTAAGCATGCACCAATCCTGATGAATAGTCATAAACTGAAAGAGGCTACTTGTCTCTATTGTCAATGGGTCGAAAGCTCACAGTTGAACTTAAATGGATTACATATATCCATGCCATTGTAAAAGATGCTGGAAGAATGTTTGGTTCTTTGGATCATTCTACTGCCATGATCTATCTTTACAAGAATCAGATCAAACCAACAATAGACTGTCCAGGGTATGATGATAAACTACATCCAGCAACAAGGCCACTTATTGGAATTTTTTGAGGAGCATGGAACCACCTCCTAATTACTATTGTTCCCAGGTCCACCCTAGCTTTGGGTGGTAGCACCTGTTAGGTTCTCAACTATGGTTAAATAGTGAAACCCCAAATTGGGTTAAAAATATTATGAAAATATAAAATACATTTTCATAGTAGAAAAATTAGCATTTATACATTTTGAAAAAAAAAAAAATAAATGAATTACCAAAGCTCCCAAGAAAAAAAAAATTGGCATAAAGTGCTGACATGATGTTAAACAAACAAAACCAAGTATGAAGCATTGCTGCTATGTCTGGTCTGGTGTTGCTCAATCTTCATTGTCCAGCCTCAACAAAGTTCAAACCACTTATATGACTTTGTCGGTGATGAATTCTTCTTCTCCCTGTAGCTCTTACCCAAAAGTTAAAATGTTGCTAGCTTTTTATTACTCTATTGTTATTATTATCTTATTATTAACTTTGGATGAGTTACATTCTTCAGTTCTACCAGTTCAGACCTTCACAGCTAGGACCTTCTATGTCATATTCATGGTGGCACACCATCCCTCATTCCCTTCATGTTCCTTTGATAAGGAACTGCTTCCACTCAGATAGCTTCTTTTCTAGAACTGTTACTTCCTGGAAGAAACTCCTGAGTGGACGATTCCCTGACAAATACAATCTTAGTTTCTTCAAGTCTAGGATCAACTCATTTTTTTTTTTTTTTTTTTTAATCATTTCTCACCCAAAGCAAGGCAGTAAAGCCAAGGTTTTACTGAGCATGAGAAAAAAGAAAAATAATATTAAGCAGATAATAATAATAATAATAAAAAGGTTTTTGACCATAGTCAGGATCATTGAGTCAATGTGAAAGATCCTTTCCTTAGCTGCATAGAATGTGCATATGGTTTTGAATTCAGAATTTTCTTTCTCCTACACATATTGCCACCCAAGGCTATAGAATCCAATCTGTCATACTATTTACACATAGCTGGGGGGAGAATAGTTGGGTTTGTACCTTTCCCAAGGATATTAGCATGTAAGTGAATGTAATGACTGGAATCCGAACTCAGCTCACTGATTCCTCAATCCGATCTGTAATCATGACTCCATTAATAATAAAAGAACAAGAAATTAAGCAGGTAACGATTGATATTACATTTAAATTTTTGAAGATCAAAATTGACTGAGAATCTGGAAGTGTGAGAAGTGTTTGGAATATGCATTTGTTACTTCCTCATTCCCACTTCCTTACAACAGTCTCACTCATTAGCCTTCTACCTTGAGTGACTCTTGGGCCTTGTTAACAGTAAAAATGAAAAAAGAAGAGGTTTGACATAGATTTTAGTTCACTCAAAACTGAAATAAAATCACTTTTGACAGCAAATGTTATTGTGTGATACACTTATTCAATGGTGTGTCCATATTAAACAAAAATCTTTCTTCATCCAATCTGCTCATCTTTCATTATGATCTCTTTTTTTTTTTTTTCTTTTCAGATTCTTGGTCCAATGGCTAACAATACTGTCCAAATGTATGGTGATTACAGTCCAAGCATTGACCCTAAATATGCAGTGACACCTTTGGCTGGTCTTTCTGCTTTGGCTGAACAGTCTAACTATGCAGCTGGATGCACAGATAATAAATGCACAGATTACAATGAAGATGAAATTAAAAAAGCTGTCAAAGATACACAGCTTATAATTGTCTGCCTGGGAACAGGTGAGTTATCTCCACTTGGATATTACATTCTCCTTCCTAATCTTTTGTTGGGTTCAAGAATCTGCTGACTGCATTCTCAGTGGAAGGGTAACTGTCACCATTTAAGGGGTTCCCACCATGTAAATGCTTTTAGACTCGAATATAAATGACCAATATTTACCACATTTAGGACTATACAAATGCTTATAGACCTAAATATAAAATCCAGAGATGAATATGCAATATTGTTGGCCCTGATCTGGCATCTCATTTGCAGTTGCTCTCTCACAAACGTGCCATCACTTCCCTCTGTCTTTTCTACAAATACTTTCATGGTAACTACTCTGATGAGCTACTATCGCTAGTTCCCAGACTGCATGAATTTAAGTGCGCCACTAGGTCGGCATCTCGGTCCCACCCTTTCACTGTCAAAACTGTTAAATATAGTCATCTCTTCTACTCCAATAGCTTCATGTCTTGCACTTCCCATCTTTGGAACTCCCTTCCTCTTACTTGCTTCCATGATAGCTATAATCTCCAACTATTCAAATGCAATGTCAATCGCCATCTCCAGATGCCTTGATCTATTCCCTGTCCTTCACTTCATCCTTTACTCTCCTACGCCTCTTTACTCTTGCTCTCACTTTCTGTAACCCCTTACATGCTAGTGGCACTCTCGCCTTACTTGGAGTGAAAAGTTTAAAAAAAAAAAATTAAAAAGACTGATTTTTCATGTTAAACTGGTGACACATTATATCAGCTGATTACTCAGAGCAACCCTCATTGGGAATATGTAGAGCAATTTTTTTAGCTGGATATTTTCTCTATACTATAATGTTATTTTGCTCAGTTTATCAGTTGGTATAAATAAGTGCATATGTCGCATTTTTATTTTATTTTATTTTTTCATGAAATTCATTCACATTTCTACCTTCTTGGTGGGTTCAAGAATTTGCAGACTGCATTGCTTCCATGGATAAACCTTAACCAACTAAATACTTGTAGACTTGTATACAATTAGAAATCAGTTTTTTTAAATTCACCCAATATAAAGCGCAAGAATCACTCAAGGTAGAGTGTTACTGAATAAGGTTTGTAATATGAATGTAAGAAGAGATAGAAGAACTCTTTCATCACACTGATATTCAGAGAGAGTATTGTTATGAGTGGTGTTATATTGCAAGAAACTTTTGAAACCTTTGAAAATTGCATCAGGATTTCTATGACTCACTCGGCATATACATACTGTATCTAGATCAGAAATTAAATTATCCTTCAGGATTTTATTGTTTATTTTTTATTAAAATTCACACAATATAGGGCTGAAGAGCCACTTATGGTAGATGGTTAGTGAATGAGATGTGTGTGATATGAATGCAAGAAAGAAGTGAAGATTATGAATGAGGATAGATATCAACTTGAAGATGTTAAGATTGTAGGTTTCAGGGAAGCATCCACATGAGAGTTTGTTCCACAAAATAGCTGTTTTGAGTGGAATTTTTTTCTTACAATTAAAATACAGAAGAAATATGGGTGATTCAACTCTGCAGATGAAGCATGGTGAGTCTTAGCTATAAAGGTCTGAACCGTTGGAACTAAAGAGTCAAGTTCATTTGTACATTTGCCATGGAAATAGTAATCAAGTAGTGATAGGCTGGCTATGTTGTGTCTGTGAAATATTATATTTCAACAGTGAACAATTTCTGATCAGCAAAGATAATCTTTTGCTGCATGCCATCATGAATCTGTCTTAGCAAACTTTTTACTCTTTTGAAGCCTCATTTTCATTGTAGCTGCTGAAAGCAAGCTGTCTCTTGTAGGGTGACATCCCTACCTCATTTTGACATAGCCTCAGTATAGTTTTCTCCAATGTTCCAGCCACCTTAGCCAATTTTCTCATTAACTTTCTTGGATTATATCTGACTTTTTTTTCATGTACCTGTTTAATGAGTTTTGGTGTTCTGGAGGTGCAAGGATGTCCTGGTTTTGGTCTATCTTTCATGGAGGACATCTTGTTTTATAGATTGTTCTTTTGATAAACATTCTATTAATCTGAAATTGCTTTCCAGCTTTAAAAATCTCAGGTGAAGTCAGTCAGTTTTCATGTTGCTCAATTATATATTTTCTTTTAATTTCTATAGACATTGTTACCTATAAATGCTAAAACCCTTTGAAAAAACAAATAATATATGTTTGTTAGGCAAATATCAATTCATAAACAGCAAAATTTAGAAGTAGAATTCATTTGAAATTTTTTAACAGCATTTACAATGCACCCTGTAAAATAGACATCCAGCATAAAATTCCTAAACATTCACCAAATGTCATCTTTGTCTTTTATTGCAAAAGTCAAGGACATTCAAAAACTTTTAGCAATGTGTTGAATTTCTAAATTGAATCTTTTTGTTGAACTGTATGAAATAGATATCTACCTGAAAATTTTATTTCCAGAAACCAAAGTTATAACATTCTTTTTTCCAACTGTGATTTTAAAAAAATTCTATGTTATGTAGTATGAGCAATTGCCACCAGGGGCCATAAACATTAATCGCACGATGAGTTTTGTTAACTTGTGCACTGAGTGTTAAATTCTTCAAATCTGATTCTAAGTGTCTTTTTGGTTTTATTTTCCTTAAAACTTCCTCATTGCTCACATGCTTTATCCATGGTATTCTAAGAATTTTTTCAGTAGAACCATATCTGTTGCCTTAAGTCTCTTCTTTATCAGTGAGGAAATTGTCCAACATTCACTGCCATATAGGCTTATTGATATTACATAGCAGTTTAGCATTTTTTGATTTTTTGGCATCATTTGTTTTTTCAAGAAAACATTTTAGTAAAATGGAGTCAGTGGCAAAAGCATAAATGCTGCTGCTGTTTCAGCCAGGTGTGATTGATTAGGTTTTGTCTGTACTTAACATTATGCAATTATTTTATAAGTTTTATTTTTCTCAAAAAGGTAAAGAAATTGAAATGGAAGGACATGACCGTAAAAATCTCGACCTCCCAGGTAAACAACTCCAATTGCTTCAAGATGCTGTTAAATATGGTAAGTTATTTTAATTATTATTTGGTCTCTATAAATCGGCAAATTCTCTCGGGTGACTGTTGAAAGAAAAAAAAAACATTGAAATATAAAACCAAGTCTGATAAATCTACAATGAAACTTTTAATTGTAAACTAAGCTTTGTAAACTTTGTAAACTTTTTCTCATAATTTTGTCAAAAGGTAGTGAGATGCTCCATTCTTGTAGTCTCTTGCTGTAAATGGTGAAAATGAAACTAATGAAGAAACACAGTTTTATAGAGCAGATGCAAATAAACTAATCAACTGTAGCTAGTAATGCAAAAAAAATGTATATATTGACCATTTATTTGCCTATATTAAAAATCATTTAACAACAGATCTTCTATGTGCTGTATCACTTTTAGACATGGATTATGGTTTTCCACAGCTTCCTATCATTTATATCTCTTAGTAATATTTGTCTTTTTACTATCCCTCTCAGTCCCTGTTCTGCTATCTATTTACACAAGTTCATTAGGTAGGTTACTTATTTTCCCCTGTCCCTTTTGCTTTTGATATGTCCTGTGAGTGTCAGATTTCCCAAACCTTCTTTCCTCATTGAGTGTCCATGAAATTTCCACTGTTTCTTTCTGATTCTAAGTATAAGTAAGCTTTTTGTTTTTATTTTCCTTAAGTTTAAGTATCCTTGGTATGACATTAAACTACATCTGGTAGTAAGGTCTCTGATCAGGAGATTGGATGAACGTGGAACCACTTCCACCCTGACCTGGGGTAGTAGCACCTGTTAGGGTCCAAACTATGGGCAAATAGTGAACCCCCAAACAAAAACCAACAATACATATTATGATCGACAAAATAAAAAACATATCTTTACTCTGAAAGTATAAAATTATGTACAAAATATTTATATTTTGGCATTAAATTAACCCATAGAGGTTGGTTTGCTGCTAAACAAAATCAACCAACAATCTTTATTTATATTAAAATGACCAACAATACATTTTATCTGTAGTTGAAAGCATACACTTGCATTCAAAATATATTTAATTGAAGGCATACAATTATTTTCAAATTTGTTGTATAAGAGTAAGTGTTGTTGCCAACACTATGGTTTGAAACTAGATCCCCAGTGAATAACACAGGTGATTCCATTATTACATAGATCATGTGATCATAAAGGAAGTGAATAAATAGGAAGTAGCATGATAACTATGCAATCACTGTTCCCTCTTCTTGTCTATCTACTATTGCTATATGTTCACTATGTCTACTTTACTACTATACAGATTACAATTCTCTTCTGATCATTATACTATTTGGTGATTACTACTTAAACAAGTATTACTAGTGCAGATATTATTGGAAGGTACTACTATTAGTACTGGCATCTATCTATCTATCTATCTATATATATATATATATAGAGAGAGAGAGACAGAGAGACAGAGAAAATGTTTGGTTTAGGTTATTTCAATTAAGTGGATGAAATCTGTGACAAAAATCCCTAGGTCCAAAATCGTTTTTTGTTTGATTATTAGATTTGTGAACATTGCCATACTATTTGAAAGTTACTACAGTCATAGGAAATTTACTGAATATCTAAAACATTGAAACAATTTAACCACGAGCAATGACTACACAAGAAGGCTTTATTGATGGAATTCCTTTATTAAGAACAATCAAACACTTGTGAAGGACATACCATAACAAAGATGACAGGTGGGAATAGCTTAGTATACCAATGGATAATGCATGCAAACAGGGATGCAGACAGACATTTCTAGACAGGGGTGTGTGGGTATATAGGGGGTGGTGGTTATACAATTGGAACCATGTACACCTGGCCAACACCGGGTACCTCAGCTAGTAAATAATAAATTGGTTGGTTTGTTGTTCAGCAGCATATTAACCCATATGTATATATAATGGTAAAATATATAAATATTATTTTATGTGAAAAGTGTGTATATAAACATATATACATATGTGTGTGTAATATGTATATTATTATTTATATATTATATGCGTGGTACTTATTAGAAAGCGCTCAATATCAGAGATAGAGCTAACATATTTGGTTGGATTGATGTGAGTTTGTACCCTGGGTTTCACACTTTTGCGATCCCTCCCCTCTAGAAAATTTAATACCACCAAATAAAAACCAATAATTATTATGAACTGCAATTTCTACCAGTTACATATGTGCAGTCATCAAAAACAAGCAAGTAACCAGCTTTAAATAACAAATCAGCCTTAAAAAAATTAAAAATAATAGCAATTTTTACCTCTCATATTTTTACACAGACCCTACCACACGTATATACATGTCTGCAAAGAAATATTATTCAGCAAAAAAAATAGAGAAATGGTCTGATTGTTAACATGGCTACATTCAAGAGAGAAATGGATACACATCCCATCATTGAAATTCAACAATCAAATGCATATGTATATAGGCAACAGCACCCATATACATACATATGTTAAGTCCCATACTGTCCACATATGTTTTTGTTTGTGTGAGCCCCGGTAGGCGAGCACATGTGCATCTGCATACCTCAATGTGGGTACGGGCATGCATGTATGTTTGCGTTAGCATGAATAACATCACGACGATGACTTCCTTCCCTCTTCCATAATAACACAAATATGCGCAACCTACATAAATCCAAAATTTTAAAAAATTAATCAGTTTGAGTTTGTCTGACGATTGCAAAAACGTGAAACCCAGGGTCACAAACTCACATCAATCCAACTAAATAAATTTTATTTTATATTTTTATTACAACTGAATATTTGTTATTAATTCTCATCTCTGAAACAAATTCTGCTAATTTACTAAGCTTTACTTAGTATGGCACAAGGATACAGGAATAGCAGTGATTGAAAACCATTCTATGAACTAGATTTTACTATTTTATTGTAGAAGGTGACTATTTAATATTTTTATAGATTGAGGAATTTATTAAGTACAATGTCCAAGATCATGTTCTTCCGGATGCCCAATAAATTTAGAAAGAAATTTATTTAGCTATCATGATTCATGCACAAACTGAATAATCATCATAGATGTTTGAAATGTTTGCCTGAATGTTCAACACAAAGTTGCAAGCATGGTAACCAGGAGGCAGTAGCTTTGCAGATAATGTCAAGAGGAATTTCATTTTAAGCTTCAGTTAAGTTCTACTTCAATGAATCAATATCGACTATGTCAAGATGATGGTTTTGTTAGTGAGTTAAGAATATACTCCAGATATAGTAATCCATAACATTCAGATCTGGGTTGTAGTTGTTGTTTTTGTTGTTGCAATCCGTGACGCCTGACGAAACTTCCTGAACCAAACACAATATTTTCTTGATACACCTGGTGTAAAACCGCAACTCCTTCAATTTTCTCAATAATCTTTTTCTGTGCCACTGCTTTCTCCTTTACACAATTCTCCTTCCACGTTACAAAAGAGACTCCATTTTTCTAACTGTAAAGACGCTGGCGTTCAGCGTTTTTTATCTCCTTTTCTGCCTTCCTTCATTTGCATGCGTGAATCCACTTTCCGTGGCTTTACGAGACTGTCCGCTTGAGGATATGTGACCATTAAAATACAAGCTTGCTGGGGTGGCCACATTTTTTTCCGGTCAAAAGATAAACCTTTACGGAAGAATATATACGCTGCCGTTTGCGGTCAGGTGGGAGAATATTTTCGTTCCAATTATCACTACATGGGCTTTTAGAGGGCCACTGAGATGGATCAATTAGAGCTGATGGTGTATTTTCTTGAAGAATAAATTTGCTGGTTTTTTATTGGACATCCTGTAGAAATAATTATGTAGTATTAGAATAATATGTTGAGAAATATATCTTTCCGTTGACAGTAACAAAGTATCAAACCCATTATTTTATTTACTGAAGAATTTATTTACTTTTGTATCAGGTACAAAATCCAGCATCATGTTCTATAAATGAATAGCAAACCCCTTATTTTATTTATACAATTCTTCAACCCTTATTTATTTTCTTTATTTAGGTCCTGGCATTCCTGTGGTCTTACTTATTTTTAGTGCTGGACCACTGGACATTTCTTGGGCTGATCAAAGTTCTCATGTATCAGCCATTGTCCAGTGTTTCTTCCCAGCTCAAGCAACAGGTACAGCTCTCTACATGATGCTGGTTAATAATCAACGAACAGACTCTAATCCATCAGCCAGGTTACCACTTACATGGCCGGCCTCCATGAATCAGGTGAGATCGATTGAGTTTTCTAAAAGAAAAGAAAAAACATTGCAAGTCATTATTAGATTGATGCAAAAGTTTCTAGCACCAAATTTGCATGTTATTAGAAGTGTTCTTGACATTCACACACTGGGACATCTATACTCCCTAATCTATATTCAGAAACTCATTCCATGTTTATTGAACAGGAGTAGAGATTTAAATATAAAATATAAATTTTTGTTTCCTGTTTAGGATATAGTTTACTGGTTCCATCTTCCATGGTCATAATGATTTGACTGTCTTAACATTTTGGTGATCTGACTGATCACTAGCTATGACTTTTCATTATGAGGCTGGCACGGTTGGCAGTTCTCTGGTTGCTGCTTCCAACTTGTAGTAAGAAGCCCAAACTCTTTGGTAGCACTTTGGCTGCTCTGAGCAGCAGTCACATAATATCAGAGTATTTGTAGTTCCATGTTGCACATAGATAAGTGTCCCTGCATGTATTTTTGATGGGCAAACTGTGGGTCACATTATGCTTTAGTCATAGCCACCTTCTAGCCAGTTCATATTGTTTTAGTTGATAATTAGTCATAATTATTTTGGCTTTTTTTCTTATGACAGACATAATGAAAAGAAATACGTGTAAATTAGTAAAAATATTAAGAATAAAATATAAAAGAAAAATAGTAAAAATAAAATAAAATTTAAATAAAATATAAAATTAAATTATAAAATAAAAATTTAAATAAAATAAATTAAATAAAAATTAAAATAAATAAAGATGTAAAAATAGTAAAAATAAAATAGTGATAATTATTTTGGTCTTTTTCTTATGACGGACACAATTAAAAGAAATACGTGTAAACCAGTAAGCAGAAAATTGTCTACTCTCCTCAACCTTTTTTTCTCCAATATTCATTGCATTCATTTTAATTTCTGTAGCGTTGAATCTTTTCTTTTAAAAGGTCTCCAAATGTTTTCACACTTTGTGAAACTAATTTAAATTCTTCTATTGTTACCAATAAATTCTCTGTTTCAGACTATCTTTTGCTTTGCTGAAAAGATTCTACCATGTATATGCATGGCCTTGGTGTTTATATTTGGGAAAATCTCCCAATCGCAAGTCTCTTGAATCCCCAGATGATTCTTTCATGTGCTTTTGACTTTCATTATTGCATTCTGTTAGCTAATGCTCTTCTTCTCAGGACTGTAATATATTAAACAATATTTATGATAATATAAAAATGACATTCTCTCTCTCTCTACATTCATCTGCCGACATTTTTGCTTTGGTGATTTTAATGTTAATCAGATCAAGTAGCTTAATCATTCTAATGTTGCTGATATTTAGACTTTCAATTTTTCCATTGCTCAGTCTCTCAATTAAATAGTGGATTTCGCTAATCATTTCCCTAATAAATCTGTTCAGTATTCTTTTTTACTTGATTTGTTCCTACCTCATCCTCTCCTAGCTTTTGTAGAACATCATGTCTGTCCTCTTGGTAAATGGGATCATGCTGTAGTATCTGTTGATATTTCTTTTGTGTCAGTTATCAGAAAGGAATCTCCTATTCACAAGACTTCTTTCTGTTACCAGCGTACTGATTGGGATTTATTTTGTGAGTCTTCTCTTTGGTTCACACCAGCCTGTTCAGCCACTATTGCCTATCAGAATCAATTTTTCCACATTTACCAGCATGATGATTCCAATCACAACAGATACCTATTTGTGACTGCTCAAAATAATTCAAAACATGTTCTCAAAAATTGATTATTAAATTTGTGAACAATGCCATACTATTGGAAAGTTATTACGGGCATAGGAAATTTACTGAATGTCTAAAACATTGAAACAATTTAAACTCGAGCAATTATCACACAAGAAGGTTTTATTGATGGAATTTTTTTCATTAAGAACAATCAAACACTTTCAAAGGGCATACCATAAAAAAGACGAGGCAGGGGAGTATCTTAATATATCAACAGATGATGCATGCAAGCAGGGTCACAGTAAGATATTTCTAGACAGTGGGGTGTGGGCATACAGAGGTATGTGGTAATACAATTGTAGTCATGTACACCCGGAAAATGCTGGGTACCTCAGCTAGCATTATATATAAGTATTCTGATTTTCTTTGGTGAGAGACTAAAATTGATGGTTTTTACATCAAAAGGAACATGTTTTTCACTTGCAGTCCCATTTTTGTTTCTTACTTCGCCATTAAGCCTTGTGACATACCAATCAATCTTAGTAAATATTTTTAAAAAGAAAAGAAAAAGTACTTTTACTCAGAGTTTCAGAGAGCTAATACCAAATCTGGTCTAAAGCCTTTCCTAGATTCGGGTTATAAAAGGCAGGATGTGTGTACCATGGAAAATGCACTTCCGCAATTTTTCGACAGATTTGCACCAAAATTTACATGCACATGCTCCAAGTTAGGGGACGGCCAAAACTGACCTTGCATTTCCCAACTCCCATCGATAGTGGAAATAATCAATTTTTTCATGCTTCTACGGCAGTTTTCATGTAGTTTGCAGCCATTTTGTACTGGCCAGAGTGAGAGCCTATAGCTGGCTGCCATGAATAGGCAGGAAGATTCTATTGGCCAGTGTGAGAGCCAACAGATGACTGACACGAATGTTAACTAGCATGCTAGCATGCGGAAAATCAATAGCTGCATTCGTCACAAGTGGGAAAAATTTAAATCTGCATGCACTTTACTCCAATTGGCTCTTCGCTTGCTTAAACTCAACGTTGATTCTGATTCCGCAGAAATGGGTTAGGTGTGAAAAAGTATTTGTTGTTAACATTCTTTTTTCATTTGGTTTTTCCAGTTATGAGTCTTTTTTTAAAGCTGATTGTTTTGTGTTCATTTTGTTTAGTTCTTTTTTCGTAACAGATTTAATGTTTAGTATAGAGCTTAGAAAAAATTCGCAGTGTGAGATAGGCAAGAAGTAAGGCATGTAGTAACATCAGCTTTAAAGGCAAGGAAGGGCAAAAATATTTTAAGTCAAGTGATAGCGATTGCTGTATGTCGTACGATTTTTGAATCAAGCACGGGCAACGCCAGGCCATGCTGCTAGTTTTTAATATACATGAAAATATCTTTGGTTTTAGTTTGTTCTGTTTTTATGGCATATCAATCTGAATAGGTTATTTAATGCCGACAAGATTTTTATATAGATTCATATGAATAGAATATTTATTCTTTGTAAGAAATCGGTTTATAGATCAAGTTTCATTGAGGTATTTTGTAAAGAGGATTTTTGTCGAGAGTCTGGTTTCATTGATGCATTTTTGGATATACAGTTTGTAGAGAAATTGATTTTATTGACATTCTCATTTGATTTATATTTTTTTGGAGAGGCCGACTATTTTAAGAAATAATATTATATCATCCACTTTTGCTTTCTTGAAAATCTCATACATGTTTTTTATATTATATTTTTGTCTTGAAAGAGCAAGATCTGAACACTCAGTTAATATATGCTTAATAGTGTATGCCGTTAGACAAAATTGATACTTGGCAAGGCAAGTTGATTTACATTGTTTAATAAGTATGAGTGGATTATTCTTGTGTAGCCAATGCATAAGTGTCAGTACTACTTGTTCCTTTTGAGATTTTCTGAAAACTGACTTCCATTCTCCTAGTTTGGATTGAATTGCGAAGAGTTTATTCTGTGGGTTATCGTCCCAGCACCATTGCCATTCCTTCTGAATTTATTTGTTAATGACCTCCTTGTAATCAGTGTATGGGATTTTGGTCTAAAGCTGATTTGGCTTTATTAACTTCTACTCTGATTTAGCCAGGAATCCAACATAGTTTGGTATCATTTTGCATAATAGTTTGATAATAAGAAGGTTGTTGGAATTTTTTTCTTCGAAGACATTAGGACAGATAGTGAGTCTAAAAAAATTAAGAAATATTTTGTTTGTTTTGTGTCATGATATTACACGGTAAAAATAGAGCTTCCCTTTGGAAGGCACTTTTTTTGGGTAATATTTTGGCTCACTGCTGCACATCCTGTCTTGTCCTCACACTTTGACCCGTTCCTTATAGATGGGTTTATGGTTATGGTAATTTTCCAACATGCCCTGAAATTTGTCCTGGAATATGAGTGGGTTTGTTTTTGGTTCAGGGACTTTATTTAATTGCTTGAATATCTATGGTGGAATACTGGCTGCAGTTGTTTTGTATGTTTGACGGAGAGCATATTACTCCTTGGAATTAGAGATCTAGCTATAAAGTTAATTTTGATACAGGAAAGTCAGTAAAAGAATTCTTCCTTGTGGAACCATTCTTCTTGATTTTGCAGTTCTTATGGCATATAAGATAGCATCTATACAGACTTGAAATCTTTAGTCTTCCAGGAAATTCTCTATGAATTGAATTGGCCTTCCTTTTAGACTCAGTTCATGCAGGTCTTCCAAGATACCAAATTTCCATGTTGTGCTGTACATCTTTCACAAGTCAAAAAAAAAACTGCTGTGTGATGTTCTTTTTAATGAAGGCTTCCCTTGCAAAGCTTTCTAGGTGTATTAAGTGGTCTATTGTGCTTTTTTTTTTTTTTTTTTTTTAACAAAAGTGCATTGAAAGTTGCTGATTAAGCTTTTAGTTTCCAGGTACTAAGTCGACCTGTTGTAGACTGTTCTCTCCATTGTTTTACATAGGCAACTGGTTAATGTTATTGGTCTGTAGTTTTCAGGGTCTGTGTCATCCTATTCATGTTTTGGAAGAGGGATGATGAATGAGTGTCTCCACATTTCTGGGAAGTTGCCATTTGTCCATATGTTATTATAAATTCTTAATAACAGTTGTAATTTGTTGGGGAACTGTTTTATGAATTGATAGTTGATATCATCTGGACCCACTGCTGTATTGTAGGCTTTCTTTAAAGGTTCCTTTACTACCTCCAGAGTGAATGGTAGGTTATAGCATTATTGGCATTATTTGATTTAACCCTTTGAGCCGTGAGCACCACTTTACCTGGTGGTAGATAAAAATGATGATTTGAACAGTGATAGAGAAAAATTACTTAATACCCAGTTGAACGTTTGGTTTGTTTTATGGCATATCAACCAAAATGGGTTATTTAATGTTAACAATTTTTATTGCTGGTAATATTTTTTCTTCAAACATTTATTGATGATAATAATTTTTTACAAAGTATTTCTGGTATTAAACCTATTTTTACATTTTGATAGTGTTTTGATCCCAGTTTAGGGGTTAACTAATTGCCCATAGTTGGGACCCTAGCAAATGCTACTACACCAGGGTGGACCTGGGAACACCAGCAATTAAGAGGTGATTCCACACTCCTCAAAACCTCCTGATCAGAGGCCTTGCTATTGGACATAGTTTATCGTCTTACCCAGGATGCGATGTAATTTATCGTCTTACCCAGGATGGCTGGTTGAATGGTGGGCAAACACTTGTAACTATTTTTCTATCTACTGTGAAACATTACATACTACTTATTTGCAAATTTGGACTCTGGAGCTCAGACAGAATGGTTAAAATTGTTCAGGAACACTGGGCCCAAATGGTTACGGTTTAGATTTTTTTTTTCCACTTTTTGTTTGAGCTTTTAAAATTTTTGGCTTCCATTCTTGACAGATGAATTTTTTGAGATTGTTTTGGTTAGTTGGTCAACAACATCCTTTTTGCTAGTTATTTAAGAGTTATTTACTGAGATGTGTTTTATAGTGTTTGTTTAATTGGTATTATTGTTTATAAGGTCCTTCCCATTTGGTTTGTACCTTTACAACCTCATATGGTACTGTGACAGTTAAAATCCCTTAGCATCATAAAATATGAAGAGAGTTGCCTGATGATTTCCTGAATTTCAGCTTCCATTTATTGGTTCATTTGGTGTGATATATACTAAGCAGATGTTTATTGGTCTGTGTAAAGGTCACTTTAACAGAAGTCACCTGTAACATTCTTGTTAAATTTATTTTATTTTGAGGTGCATCATTCTTAACTAGGATGGATGTACAGCCTGAGATTTGAACCTCAATGTCTCATATTTGTAGTTCTATTCATGGTATTCTTTTATATTCACTTTGTCACTTTGCTTAAGGAATGTTTCTGGAAGGCAAACAACTGCTGGTCACAGATCTGTTATTAACAGAAACAGTTCATTTATGTTTGCCTTTATTCCATTGCTGTTCCATTGAATTATTTCATTGGTGCTTGCTAAATGTTTTGGGACTTTAGCATAGTATGTGGTTGTGATTTAATTTTCCAAGATTTTGGCCATTTGTGGGTTCTGGCTTTCCAACTTCTTTTCTTCCAGTTTGTCAAATTGGTTTTGGGTAGGAATTTGATCACCATTTCTAGTTTTTGTTTGGCTGGTTGTTTTTTTTTTTTTTTTTTTTTTTTGAGATAAGTTTTAAATCTATCTTTGATGGGTTTTGGTGGATGGATAAAAGATTGCTGTGACATTTGCTTTGCCAAAGTTTTTATAATTTTGTAGGAGTGGTTTTTATTTGAGTGGTAAATTTTATATTTTTATTTTCTTTATTATTTCAATTCCTTCATTGGCTTTCTTTTGGGGTTCAGTTTGTACTGTATATGTCCTTCAGGTAGCTCTGAAATTTGGACCAATCATTTGGTCTCAAGTGTATGAGTTTCTCAATGAGGGCTCTGTATTTGTCAGGTTGACTAGAATTTGGTATGGTCATTCCTTGAGGGACTTTAATGTAGCTTTCTACAATTTGCTTTTCCTCCATGAAAGAAACATTTTGTTTATGTTTCACCTTGACTATCTCGTTTTCCCTTTTCTAGAAGTTGCATGATCTTGAATATGCTGGTTGACTTTCCTGGCAATTAGCACATCTTACTTCATAGTGGCATTCTTCCTTCATGTGGTCTGAGTCCCTTTGACCACATTTTCAACATGTTGGGTGACTCCTGTAGTTATTCCTATGATGCCCAGATTTTTGGTACATGTAGCACCTTAGTGGACCAGGACTATATTGTTCTACTGGCTCAATATTGTACCTTATTTTGTTGGGGATTTGAGGTGTGACAAAAATTAGGATATATGTGTCTGTTGTAATAGTTTCTTATTTCATTTGTAACATGATTCTACGATAATCACTGACCCCTTGAATTTTTAAGGCAGGTGTGGCCAGGTTTGTTATGTTTTATGGTATATCAGCCTCAATGGGTTATTTAATGCCAACAAGATTTTTATTGCTGGTAATATTTTTTTTAAAAATGTGTTGCTGATAATATTTTTTTATTAAAAAAATAATTGCTGGTAATAATCTTTTAGAAAAATGTATTGCTGGTATTAAAACCTATTTTTACACTTTCATAGTGTTTTGACACCAGTTTGGGGGTTAACTGTTTGCCCATAGCTGGAACCCTAACAGGTGCTAGCACCCCAGGTCAGGGTGGACCTGGGAACACCAGCAATTAATGGGGAAAGTTTTTTTTTTTTTTTTTTTTTTTATGAAAGTTCTTCATCTTGATTAAACTTTTGGCATGTTTCTTATTTTCAACCTCTACCAGCAAATTGCCATTTCTCAATTTCTTAACTGTTTTGGGGTTAATCCTACTGGATAGCACTTTTACATTTAAAAAAAGGGGGAAAGTTTTGCTAGAGGAGTTTCCTCTAGGTTTGGCTTGTTTTTTTTTTTTTTGTGGCATATTAACTTCAATGGGTGAATTAATGCTGGCAAGATTTTTATTTCTGGTAATATTTTCTTTTTTCAAATATTTATTGATGATACCAATTTTTTTTTTTAAGTATTTTTGGTATTAAAATCTATTTTTACACTTTCATAGTGTTTTGAGTCAGGTTGTGGGGTCAATTTTTTGCCCATAGCTGGGACCCTAACAGGTGCTACCACCATGAGTCAGGGTGGACCTTGGAACACCAGCAACTGAGAGGTGGTTCCACGCACCTCAAAACATCCTGATCAGAGGCCTTGTGGCTGGACGTAGTCTATCGTCTTATCCAGGATGTGGATGCAGTTTATCGTCATACCAAGGGCAGCGTTTCCTCTAGGGATGCAAGCATGAGAAATCATGGAAATTTAGTACTTAATTCTTTTTTAGAATCAGTCTGAAAGATATCTTTTTTTTTTTTTATACTGTTTATTCATAATTTTGATTTGGAAAAAATTCACTGCCTGTGCTGCTCCCCAGCCACCTCAAAGCCCAGCATTTGGATGTGTTAAGGGCGAAAACCCAGTCGTCTTGACAGGTCAGGGTTACACATACTCGTATTCAAGAGAGACTCTGTGTACCTGTTAAACCATTTGTTGCACTTCCCAAATCTTAATTGTGCAAACTGGTATATCCCCAGCCATGTCTCAATCTAGATCTCTTCAAACTAATTGACCCTCAGACATTGCTTTCTAATGCCTATAAATTGGATAAAGATGGTATTTTATGCCAGTGTATATTTGGGTTATTGTATTTGGTTATAAAGTACTCCATAAATTGATATAGTTATAGGTGCTAGGGCTTGGCATGACTAACCATTTGATTAGATTGGGCCTCTCCTATAGCCCGTCTAGTCCAAGTGGCAGAAGTATTTCACCCTGACTCCTGAAGTCCTCAACCACCAGGATCCCGTCCCTAGACATTACAGGTCACCACACACAAATATTTTGTTTTGAATGTCATTTCAGTTTATTATTTTGTAGTAGGAATGGAAAAGTAGATTAGCATGAAAATAAACATTGAGTTGGTTGCATTCAATTTGATAATAAATCTAGCACAAAATTGTTTTACTACAGAGGGAAAAATGCAAACTTCGGGTAGTAGTATAACAGCTAAGCACTATATTGACAGAAGTTATATGCTCTCCAGCAAATAATCCTTACCAAAAATTGATTTGTGACTAAAGTATTATAAAAAGGGCAAAAGTACAGTAAGTTAGTTGGTTGGTTTTTAGCAGCATATCAATCTGTAAAAGATTCATTGAAGAGGAGGAGGAGGAGGAGTGGAACAAATCCATTTTGATATTGAGCAGGAAAAAAAAACTTTGCAGACTTTGCAAGGCATATTAGTCACCATTGTTAACAGTGACAATTTGAGTTTACTAGTTGGGTAATCATAAAAGTGCTGACCAACTTATTCAGTAACTGGAAACCTTTATTTACATTATTCGGACTATTGTACTCATCTTTGTTGCCATATTCATCACAACGTTTCAGCCATTGTATGCTCTAGCCTTCTTCAGGTGGTTGGAAAGAGTGTGAGTTCAATACCTGGTTAAAGCAGTGGAGAACTTGGAGAGGGGAATTATGACTTGGGGAACTAGAACAGTCTACCTCAGCGAGCAAAATAAAGGGTTCAGTTTGACATTCCAACCACCTGAAGAAGGCCGAAGTATACAATGGCTGAGATGTTGTGATAAATATGGCAACAAAGATGAGGACAATACTCTGAATAATGTAACTAGTGTACATAACACCTTATCTCAGAAATATAGACGGATATTGAAAAACTTTGTTGAAATGGTTTGACAGTTTGCTAAACTTTAACTTCATATTTATTTGAATAGCACTTGATCAACAAGTGTTAAATTCTGTTCCAAAATAACCTTGTGAACAATATTTCTGATCTTCTCTGCAAAGAAAGAAATATTAATTTTAGTTCAAAAGGAAATATATTTTTTGATTGCAGTTTCATTTTTGTTTAACATGTAATACATTTGTAGCTCAAATATATTCTCTTATGAATTAAATGCTCACTTAATTTTTTTTACTCTTAATACTTGTGATAAAAATGTTGTTATTTTTTTTTCTTCTTCCACAGGTTCCTCCAATGACAAACTATTCAATGGTAGGAAGGACATACCGTTATTTTGTTGGTGAACCTCTTTACCACTTTGGATATGGCCTTTCTTATTCAAAATTTTTTTATTCAAAATTTGACATACCTGCTAACGTAACTGTTGGCAATCCAGTGGCGCTGTCTGTTCAAGTTCAAAATATGGGTCCTTATGATGGTGCTGAAGTAAGTAACACTCAAAATTAGTTTGAAGTTGTTTTGCTCTTTCCAGATTGAATGTAATTCTAACTCAAGTTTAAATTCAAATTATACACAAGTTAACCCTTCCATACATTGACAGATCAACAAAAAATAAGAAAGAAATTATTTATGTGGGTTTTCACTATATGGGTGGACTCAGTTATCAAGTGAAATGACTGTTAAACAATAAACTTATTGTTGGCTACAATTGAGTGAAGTTTGTATTAGATTGCCTGAAAATTGAGGCAGTTTTTAGTTTAAAATTTGTGTTGACATTGAATTTCAAAATAAAAATGAGCTCATCAAATGTAAGTAACCTACATACTGAGTTTGAATGAAATTGGAGGAAAAAAGTTGAATTTATCAATTTTTGATTTTTTAAAAAATTATTGATTTTTTTATGCTAAGTACCTATCTCTTACATTGTACAATGTATGTGCCAAGTTTGGTCAAAATCTGTTGGATGGATCTCAAGTAAAAAGAGAGACATCCTCTGTTTTATATATATAGATTGAAAGCTAAAGGAGTAACTTTACTATTTCCAGTAAGCAAATTACTATGGTGTATTTCAAACAAATTATATTGATTGGAATCAATTTTTTAAGAAATTTTTTCTAAAATAACTGATTAGCACCTCTTTTAGATGTCTTCCATCATAAATATAATTCTCTCTATTAAAAAATTTTCCAAAAATAAAATATACTTTTCTGAAACTTTGTTTGAGGAATATTAGCTGATTTAAAGAATAATTAATCTGATTTGAAAAAAAAATATTATTTACTTTAAGTTTAAAATAACAGAAAAATGGACTTTTGAAACAATCTGTAGCATTGATTATGTACTTGTCATAGGTCATCAATCATGTAACAAGTGCTGATAAAAGTGTTGACAGTTTTATTGTTGCCTATGGAGACTTTATCTGTTAAAACATAATTTACCAAAATGATGGGTGAGCCACCTTTTTTATGTAAATTTTAAGTACTCAGTAATCATAAAAAATGTTGGAAGATATTTTCTGTAATTTAATTTTAGGAATGTTGACTTTAAATTTACCATAGTCATCACTCTTATTTTCTGATAATGTTGTGTATGGTTGACAATACTTTCAAATAGGACACATTATATAATATTTTATATACATAAAAAAATTATTTTAAAAATATTGGTGCAAAATGATTTGTATGAAGTTTTTCAATTTTTGATTAGTAAATAACAATATCACCTAAGTGGATGAAAGTAATGCAGAATTTTAAAAGATTTATATATAATAAATTATTATAATTAAAATTTTTAAAAAATAAAAATTCTTGTAAAAATTCATTAAAAAAAATTTTTTCTTAAGACAATAGTGTCCTTAATAAATCTTACTTATAAAAGCAATTAAAGGCTTTTCTCCTTGAATAATATCATATTTTTATTGCATTTTTTTATTTTACGATCCAGAGCAGTTTTTGAGAAATGAGTAGTAGTTGAAAAAAAGAAATTGATGATTTACATTCTCCAAGGAGTCCTGATTTTAACTAATAAAAATTTAATTTCTCAAAATTTCATGAAATTAAGTAAATTGGAAATAACATGTAAAAACATGAAAAAAAAAATTGGAAATAATTTCATTCATTTTTTAATAACTTCTGAAATTTCCATTAAAATCTAACAGTTATTTGATTTTTGCAAGAATTTCCAAATCCACCTGAAAAATAGGCACTAAAACACTAATTGCAAATATGTCAACTGCTAATGCAAAAAAAAAAAAAACAAGATTTTTAACCAAACTTTCAAACGTGCTAGAAAGGATTAAAAAAAATAATATTAATAATAATAAAATAAAAAAAAAATATTTTGATTTTTACTCTTAATAATAAATATTTTGATGACATTTTGTTTTTATTAAGGATTGGGCCTTTTTTCATAATGCTATGCTGTTTTTTCAATGAAGAAGTGAAGGTTTCCTATATAATGGTAATAGTAATATTAAACATTTCCTTATAAGGAAATATTTGGAATTTATTGACTGGTTGAAATTTGTAAGATCTTTCTTTTTAAACAATTTTTCCGGAAAATAATTTTCTCATGTCCAGTAGCTGTTATTGATCTTTCCAGTACTGATAGGGGATTCCTTCCTAACCTTTTATTTGAAGTAGTGTGCAAAATCAACATCTTGATTATATCATTTTCTTTTCGCATTACATATGCTATCCATTTTAGTTGTTGTTGGTAGTCTTCAAGTGATGTGGTTTCTGTTTTTTGGTACAATTCTTTGTTTGTGATTCTATAGCACCAGTCCACAAGGTTCAAATAAGGATGATCTTTGCCAAAACCCTCAGACTTCACTCGTTCAAAGCCATTTTTAAATATTGATCTTAGAAAGCGGTTGTATACAGTTTAGATATTTCTAAACTGGTTTGGTGCATCATATCCTATGAAAGTCTTGATTTGACGAAGCTATTTAAGAACATGACTCGGGTTTTCAGGTTAATGTTTTGGTTTTGTAGCAATCTGAGGTATTGTGTGAAACTACTCTTACCACAGCCTATGTTCAATTTCCTCATCTGTACTAAATCTGTTATGACTGATTCATACACTGAGATTTTTTTTAGGACGCAAGGGGTTACAGAAAATTTATAACAAGATCAGATAGGAATGATAGAGGAAAGGATGAGGAGAAGGGTAGTGGATAGATCAAGGCAACTGGAGATGTCGATTGACATTACATTTGAATAGCTGGAGATTATAGCTCTCAGGGAAACTAGAATAGGGAAGGGAGTTCCACAGGCGAGAGGTGCGAGACATGAAGCTATTGGAGTAGAAGAGATGGCTACATTTAGTAGTTTTGACAGTGAAAGGGTGAGAGAGGGATGCCAGCCTCATAGGGCACTTGAACTCATGACGTCTGGGAACCAGCGAATGCAGCTCCTCGGAACAATTGCCATGAAAGTATTTGTAAAACAGACAGAGAGAGGTGATGGCACGTCTGTGAGAAAGTGACTGTAGGCAAGATGCCAGATCAGGGCCAATTATATTGCATATCCACCTCTGGAGCCCATCAAGAACCCTGAGGCAAACAGAAGGGGCTCCAGACCATATATGGCAGCAATACTCCATGCAAGGGCAAATTGATACCTGAAGTCTTTAGCAAATTCCACATCCTGAATATTTATAATGGATTCAGGGTAGGTGTGATCATGGCTTTCATTCCATTTCCAGATAATTGTTTCTGCTTTGGAAAGCTTTATCTTGAGTCTTATTTCTTCGTATACTTATTAGAGTATGTTTATATCTTTTTCTTCCAGATCATATTTATCTCAACTATGTATACTAATGTGTGATTGGCCTTAAGAGGGAAAACAGTATTGCTGTCTTGTATTTGTCGATTCATTTGGGATGTGGCATAGAATGGTTAAATAATCAGTGTCCATCTTTTCATATCTATGCTTTTAAGTACACATGGTATAGTCTAGTAAAAGATTAAACAGACATGAGAACCATGAACAGTATTACCCTTTACCACACCCTAAATTCTTTCTATAATTATTACCCCTGCCACTACATTTTTTTTTTTTTTGAGGGCACAAAAACATGAACATTTACTGTTTTAAAATTGTTATAACTTTCTTTGTATTGTGTGTATAGGTTTTATTTTTTGTATACTAATAAAAGAATGGATGAGTAATATTTTGATGCAATGCATATTTTGACATTGAAAAAAAAAAAAAAGAAACAAAATAAAAAAAAATAAAAAAACAAATACATTAACAATTTAACATACTTTAACTTTTATTACTCTTTGTGGAGTTCTAGGGTGCAACGAGAAGCAAAATGGCTAAAGAAGTCTTTCATTTTGTCAAAAAAAGTGAAGTGCTTCCTCATGTTTACATGCGAGAAGGCACTAGTATGCTCTTTCTTTCACGTGACTAGCATATTTATTTGTCTTGTTGAAGAATAAAGTTATTATTCTGTGGTTTATAAATAGACAAAATAATTCACCTTCAGAAAGGCTATCAGGTACATCCATGGCACCAGTAGCTTCCATAAAATTAGTCAGCCGTGAATGATAGTATCCGCTTGGCAACTAGTGGTCATCATCACTCTCCTCCATGTCACAAGCATGCTTATCATCTCCCAATCATTTCACCATCAATATCCACTTGAGTAAAGCCTTCCAAATCAGTATTGGAATTTGAATTAAAGAAAAACTACTGAATAAAGGCTTTGTTTGATGTTGATGCAAGCATTTTTGTTTACAAATAATTGTAAAAAAAATTAACATGGGTTTAATTGATGTTCCACCTCATGTGGAGTGTAGAAGAATTTAAATTGGCATTGAACAATGGAAATTTAGCCTCTTTTCAAGCAGTAGTAGGTGATTTCCAGCTTAAAATACCGGAAATAACACTTGACAAGTGTTTATTTATAGCAATTGTCTCAAGGTGACAGAATGTGCCTACAGTGTGCAAAGGGAGAGAATTCTATGACAACAATTTTCGCCTCCAGTGTATCAATAATAATAAGCAGACCCTAAATTTTTTCCAGTCCTGATGAGCAGATGTATTCTCAAATGAAGCATTTTGCTTTTAAATATCTCTTGAGACTACAGCTCATGCCAGACTTCAAATGGAACTCATATATTAAGTGCCATTGCAAAAGATGCTTGAAGAATGGTTGGTTCCTTGTATTGCTCCAGAAAATATTTAATTCCTACTGCCATGCTTTACCTTCACAAGAGTAAGGTCAGAGCAAGAATCAAGTATTACTGCCATATCTGGCTTGGTGATGCTCAATCCTCACTGTCCAGAATAAATAGAGTTCTGAAGCTATTATATGGCCTTGAGGGTGATGAATTATTTTCCACTCTGTAACCCTTTTTTCCCCTCCAGATGAAATTTTGCTATCCTCTCACTAATCCAAATCCAATTGAGTTTGTTACATTCCATTCATACGCTTGGGGAAAAAATATGGATCAATCTCTCTTCTCCACCAAGCTATGGGTTAAATAGTAGGAGAGACTTGGTTCTTCAGCCTTGTTTGGCAACAAGTTTAGATGACAACTTGAATTCACAACCATTTGGGTATAAGGTTAACAATTCAAGCCTGTAAAAACCTACTTTCTGCAGCAACAACTTTGCCTAATATTCCTTAGTGGAGTCCATGGGACTTCAATGACTGATTCATGAGATACTAAATACTGTCACTTTGATATTGTCGTGTTTGTTTTTTTTTATTTCAGGTGACACAAGTATATATTTCTTGGGTGAATCCTTCAGTACCTATGCCAAAAATCCAATTGGCTGGCTTTCAGCGGACTTCGTGGAAGGTTAAAGAAAGTGGCCTGTTGAAATTTATAATTCAACCAAAACAACTGGCTGTATGGGATGATCACAAAGGATTTATAGTCAAGGAAGGTAAGCATAGGCTCCATTTTTATTTTTTTGTTTATTTATTTTTATTTATTTATTTATTTTAAATTCATCAAATAATTTACTACAGTGATTTAGGCACATTGCACATCGGGTATATTAAAATTAAACAAATGCAAAAATTCACCCTGTCCTGGGTATGACGATAGACTATATCCATGCCTCTGATCAGGAGGTTTTGCAGGGCATCGAACCATCTCCTAATTGCTGGTGTTCCCAGGTCTACCCTGAGCTGGAGTGGTAGCACCTGTTATGGTCCCAGCTATGGGCAAATAGTTAACCCCTAAACTGGGGTCAAAGCACTGTGAAAGTGTAATCTGAGTGTTTAACTATTTGTTCATAGCTGGGACCCTAACAGGTGCTACCACTCCGGGTCAGGGTGGACCTGGGAACACCAGCAATTAAGAGGTGGTTCCACGCTTCTCAAAACCTCCTGATTTGAGGTCTTGCTGTTGGACATAATTTATTGGATGCGGACGTAGTTTATCGTCATACCGAGGATGATCCCTTGAGGTGAATTATGGGGTCTGAATGTTGATGATAGACGAACCCCGTAAACATTAAAATTTAAAGAATTGACACAGGCCAAGGCCAGGATAGAAAAGAACAAAGAGTTTAGATAAAATATACCAAAATTTATACAGTTGAAGAACCCAGATGTTTTAAATACCCTGGGTGGACGTTCTGGTAGTTGAGTGTTGGTCTTAGCTGCATTGACAGTTGATGATGATTGGAGCAAATTGAGTAGTGCTGAAAGTTGATAGACAGTTGGTGTATTGGGTTGGTACTAGCTGGCAGCCCTAGTCCAGGGCAGATGGTTGTTAGTAACCAGAAGATGAAACCAATTGAAATGATAGGTAGTCATCGAAGGTTGATAGACAGGGGGCGTGTTGAGCTGGTACAAGTAGGCAGTCGTAGGTGAGGGTATGTGGTTGAAACCACAAAGATCTGCAAGCAGCAGGGAGTGAAACCTGAATTGCCAAGTGGATTGGTAGAAAATGTGGCCAGCAGGAGTCAGTTGGTTGCTGTTGATTGTTAATGGTCATTGGTGATCTTTGCTGGTTACTGGTTGTTAATGGTTGTCACTGGTCTGGATAGAACCCAGTCATCTTCTCCTTGCTTTCCCAGGTGTGGCTGGTCACTGCTGGTTTTATGGCATGTTACAACAGTGCAGTGTTTTGATGCTGCTTCTGGTTATAATAAAAGTCATAAAAATAACTCTAGGTCATGAAGTATAATGTAATTGGTCATAATAAAACTACAAACAAAAAATGAAATAGTATTGGTTTTGAATAACCAGCATAAAATGTTTTTGAAATAATGTACAGAATTAATAAACTTGAACAAACTGTTCAAGGTCAAATTGAAAGAGTCTGGTTTAGTTTGGTTTGTTTTTTTTTTTTTTTTTTTTTTTTATGGCATATCAACCTTCAATGGGTTATTTAATGCCGACAACGTTTTTATTGCTGGTAATATTTTTTCTTGCAAAAATGTAGTGCAGGTAATTTTTTTTTTTTTTTTCAAAAATGTACTGCTGGTATTAAAACCTATTTTTACACTTTCATAGTGTTTTGACCCCATTTTGGGGGTTAACTATTTGCCCATAGCAGTGACTAACAGTTGCTACCACCCCATGTCAGGGTGGACCTGGAAACACTAGCAATTAAGAGGTGGTTCAACACTCCTCAAAGCCACCTAACCTGAGGCCTTGCTGTCAGACGTAGTTTATCATCTTACCCAGGACATGGTTTAGTTTGGTTTGTTTTACAACATATCAACCTCAATGCGTTATTTAATGCTGACAAAATTTTTTTGCTGGTTATACTTTTTCAAAAAGTATTTTTTCTAAAAATGTATTGCTGGTAATATTTTTCTATTTTTATTTCAAAAACGTATTGCTGGTAATATTTTTTCCCCCCAAAATATTGCTAGTAATAAATTTTTACCAAAAACCTATTTTTACAAGTTTGGACCCCAGTTTGGGGGTTAACAATTTGGCCATAGTTGGGACTCTAACAGGTGCCACCACCCCGAGTCAAGATGGACCTGGGAACACCAGCAATTAAAAGGTGGTTCCATACTCCTCAAAACCTCCTGATCAGAGGCTTTGCTGTTGGATGTAGTTTATCGTCATACCCAGAACACGGATGTAGTTTATTGTCATACCCAGGATGGTGAAAGAGTCTGTTTGTTAAAACAAAAATAATGGAGTAGCATGTCGCTACGGCAGCTGTGAAATACATTCCACTCTGAAAAAATAAAAGCATAATTAAAAAAACTACATATTTTTCTGTAGGCGATATCAAAATGTGGATAAACTGATAGACATACTGATCCTTTTGTTAAAATTTAAATAAATTATGAGAATTTTTGACCGAATAAAACATTACCATATTTGACGGCATATAAGATGCTCCCCCATTTCAGCAGGGCAAATCAAGAAAGAAATTACAATTAATAAAATTAGTAAAATTATTAGTAAATGGTACAGACTAGGCCATATTTATGAGGTATTATTTTGGTTAAACAAGCCATGATTACAAATAAATGAAAAATAATAGGAAAAAAGAATATGATCCTCTAAAACCTTTATTATATCCTTTATATGATCCATACAACCTGCGTCTTGTAAACGTCTTATTGGAATAATTAGGATATAAAAATTCTGATTGTATTTATACCAACGCAACCGGAAGTTATTGCAAGGAAAATATTAATGAAACAAATATATTTTACAAATATATAATTTGAATTTATTGCATATTACTAATATTAAACGTGATGAAATTAATATAATGAATATTATCAATGATAACACTTTTAATCTGTATAATAGCCTTTTAAATAATGACAAGAGATATATGTAAGTTACTCTAAAGTGTAAGCTAATATGACTTGCCAGGTAGCTAATTTCATCTGACTATTGTAAATTTTAAACCTACATGTGGCATGTAAGTTGCAAGGGAATTTTAAAAGATATTTTTAGTAAAAAAAAGTGCACTTTATATGTTGTTATGTGTAACTTTTTTTTTTTTTTTTTTTGAAAATCTATATCCAGTGATGAGATAAAAGAAAACCTTGAACTTGTATTGATTATAAATATTTTTCTCATCAAAATGATTCTCTCTGATAGTTTTTCTTTTTTTTTCTTTCCAGGTGAGATAGTGGTTACAGTTGGAGGTTACCAACCTGGAATTAAACGTAGAGTCAGTTCCAATGTCTTGAAGAAAACCATTTTTATAACAGGACCCACGCTATCATTAGGACCAAATTATAAAATTTAAGGCAATTTTTCTTTTTTAACTATGAATTAAAAAGAACTGAAAATGAGAACAAATTTTTTAACATTAAAATGGATTCCAACTGTAAATTGAGCTTTACAGAAGAAATTGAAGAAAAAAAATGTGTATAGATTTCCTCTCATTTTTGTGAAATTTTACTTAATGTTTAACTCGCCCGCCCCCAAAACCTGCAGATTTTCTCTGTTTTCTGAAATAATAGGAACTAAAAAAGCAATCTCTGTTAATTAATATAAGAAAAGATATTGAATGTTCCCAGACCTCCTCCTTACCTTTTCTGTGACCCTGTCTCAATATCGAAGATACTGATAGATATGTTATTTGCTGTGGAAGGCTTGAAATAGGACAGTATGCCTTGACTGCTTAACCACATCATTTTCTTTCTTTCTTCTTCTTTCTAGGCATTTAAAACATCATGTCCTAAACAAACCATACTTTTTTTTTATGTAATCACTGTAGCAGTGAATTGTAATTATGATTTCATATAAAGTTATTTGGTGAGGATCTGAGACTACTCAAAATCTTCCCATTTTAATTAATGGCAATTGCTTCTGAGATTTAAAGTGTCTTACCTTTACTTTCAGATAATGGCAGAAAGCTGTAATTATGATTACATGTTTTAAATTCTCTTGGAAATTTATTGGTGAATGAAAAAAATGTTTTTATTAATTCCAATGAGTATTTGCAAGAAAATACTTTGGTATCATAAATTTTAACTAACATTTCTGGGACCAATCATGATGTCTTGGCATTGTTACCATTCTACCATTTTTCATTATTTTAATGTTGGAGAAAAAGTGTGACTTTAGTTAATCTTGATCTTGTTTCATTTAGAAATATTAGCTTTGAACACTTGCTAATATCTCTATACAGTATAAGGAAATATGTCACTTAATTTAGATTTAAAATACAAGTGGATGCTAAAAAAAAGTTCTTTGCTTGACCAACTTTCCAAAATATGACTAAATATCAGAATTTATTTTGGAATCACTTGCTTGACCCAAGAACTCTTCAGATCTACTTCATAATTCTCATGAAACTAAATTCAAAATGGCTGATTCTATATTGTAAAGAATGTGGTAAATACCTGAGGATTCATTTCTTTTTAAAATGTGGGTGTTTTATCTATTTTTATTTGGGGTGGAAAAATGATGGAAAAAGAAAAATAGTCAAATTTTCTATCAGTTTTGTTAAATATGTCTATTTTGAATTAATTTAGGTATGTAAGGAATAGATAGGATTCAGATTTAGAATTTGGCAAGAGGAGAGATAAATGATTGGAACAAGTGAGATGCTGACCCACCAAGAAAAAAAGATGATTTAAGAGTTTATTTTGTTTGTTTTTGACGGCATATCAACCTCAATGGATCATTTAATGCCAACAATTTTTTTTTTTCCTGGTAATATTTTGTTTTTTGTCAAATATCTATTTCTGGTAATATTTTTTTCCTCAAAAATGTATAGATGGTAATATTATTTTCAAAAATGTATTGCTAGTAATATTTTTTTTTTTTTTTTTTTTTTTAAAAAAAAAAAATGTATTGCTGGTAATAGTATTTTTTTTTCAAAAATTTATTTCTGGTAATAATTTTTTACAAATTTTTTCTGGTATTAAAACCTATTTTTACACTTTCATAATGCTTTTTACCTCAGTTTGTGGGGTTAACTATTTGCCTATAGATGGGACCCTAACAGGTGCTACCACCCCAGGTCAGGGTGGACCTGGGAACACCAGTAACTAAGAGGTGGTTCCATGCTCCTCAAAGCCTTCTGATCAGAGGCCTTGCTGCTGGATGTAGTTTATCATCTTACCCAGGACGGACTGAATGAGTTGGGGGACAAAAATTGAAAAGATAGGTAAATGGGTTGACTCTGTCGGGGAGATGTAGAAATTGAGCAAAAAGAAAGTAATAGTTGTCCAGGTGTTTATCAGAGCACTGGGAATGATCTGAAAGAGTGTAGAAGAAAAGCTGGAGGGAGTGGAAATCATAGAATGGATAGCATTACCAAAGACCTATAGAAAATTTTTTTTAAAAAGACTGGAATATAAATCAGTTTTTTTTCTATCATTTGATCTCCAATTGCAATCTATGTGCTCACAAATTGAGTAAATAATTATATATGTTGGCATCAAACCTGACAATCGCATGCAAAAAAAAAAAACAAAAAACAATATCTTAATGCTTTAAAACATGGAAAGATTGCCTACGGGAGAGTGGAGAGATCTGTGCAAGTTGATAACAACATAAAAAAGGTTGAAATTGAGAAAGTAGATAAAATACCAGCACCTCACATGGGAACAAAAGAAACTACACACCATAATACATCTGCATCAAGATTGCCTGAATTTCATATTCAGAGAAAGACTTGAAATTGTTCCAACTCTGGCATTGTTGTCCTGACCTGAGAAATGTGAGAGAATATGAGAAAAAAAGAAAACCTAACCCTAACCAAGAGGAGAGAAGCCAATAAAAGAACGGAAAATAAGACAGAAGATAACAACTGCCATTGATCTTCAAAAATTTTAAATCAAAATGGAAAGAAAGACATTTAAGAGAGAGTCCCACAAGCATGAAGTGCAAGCGAAGAAATAGTTAGCATAGAACAGTTACATCTAGTAATTTCAACTGTAAAATGATGGGACCTAACTGCCAATCTAGTACTATGCTTAAACTTGTAAAGTTGAGGTACCAAAGACAAAGAGCATGAAAATCTTTATAGAAAATGCATAGGAAAGCTACATTATGGTGGTGAGAAAGAGACTGAAGTGAAGATGCCAGGTCAGAACCAATAACATTGCAGATTGTTCTTTGGATATTTATCTCTAAATACATAGACCAGATGGGGCAGCAATTTAATCAGCAGTTGCAGATTTTGTCTTATTTAAGTTTGACATGAAATTTAGCACTTTGTTCTCTGGATGCTTCCTGCCATTTCCAAAGAACTTTACCAAATAACAAAAACCTGATCATTTGAAGACTTCCAACAACAACAACAATGGATAGCAAAGGTAACCAGAAGAGAAAATAATCATAATCACAATGCCAATCTTGGAGTGTCGAAAGAATGTTTTTTTTTTCCCTTGACATCACTAATATTTTTAACTACCTTCACTTCTCGGCAATGTTTGTTTTCAAAAGTGATGATTAGAAATTTAATAAAGCCTAAACATATAACGAAAGTGAATTTATATATTGCTTTTCGTTCTTGAGAATTTACAACAAAAATATTAAACACTATTTATTTATTTATTTATTAGATTATTTATTTTCAATAATTTTATACTTACAAAATTTTAAAAACTAATACAATTTAAAACTAATACAATGCAATATTTATCATTTACCAATTTAACAGAGCAACTGTTAAACCATTTGCTGCACTTCCAAAATCTTAAGATAAGTTAGATAGAGATCCCGGTATGTATTTGGGGTATTGTATTTTGATATAAAGTATTCCATAAATTGATATAGTTTAGGTACTAGGGCTTGACAGGACTAGCTGATTGATTGGATCAGGCCTCTCTGCCCACCTGTTTAGTCCAAGTAAGGTCTAAAGTGGTGTGTTAAGAATCCAAAGTATCTAATCCAGACTCCTAAAGCCCTCAACCACCAAGGATCCCATCTCCAGACATTACACATTGCCACCCATGGAAAACGGTTGTCCTTATTTTTTCTTACCCCACTGCAGTGGTGCAATCAGTGTATTCTGAAGCTCCAGCTGACAGGGTAGTTGAAAATTAGAAATAGAATTTTAATGCCTGATTTTACTAGCATCTTAAAAAAAAGCAAATGAAGGAAATTCAATGAGTTTTTGTTAATTCTTTTTAACCCTGAGGAGATGATAGGGCTGATCTATAAGCTAAAAAAGTTGAATGACAAAGAAGCTGACTGGGCTGATCCATTGAACCGATAATACAAGCCTCAAGATTAGCTGACTGGTCTTTGTACCAGCCAATCAGATTGCTTCTCCCACTTCTGGGTCTTTCAATGGAAGTTTCTATAATAGTGTGCTGTGATTTTATATTGATGTTTTTTTAGTTACAAGTGAGGGCTTATGAAAAGGGCTCCATTTTCTTGGCACTGAAACTCTAAATGAAGCTCCGTCTCCAAAGGGTTAAATAGCAGATGTTGAAATGGTTTTCATTTGTATAAACACTTATTATATAAAAAAATTCCCATGATCCTCTTTTTGAAAACTAAACCCTGAATAAGAAAAGAAAAATAGTTTATTTTAATAAAAAACATGAGAAACTTTTGCACACACAATAAATTTTAAGTTTTTTATACTCCAAAAGAAGTTAGTGAAGGAAAGCAAGTTTGGTTTGGTTTGTTTTATGGTTTATCAACACCTCAGTGGGATATTTAATGCTGAAGAGATTTTTATTGCTGGTAATATTTTTTTCCAAAATGTTTTGCTGGTAATAAATTTTTCTTTAAAAATTTATTCATGGTAATAATTTTTTACAAAAATGTTTTGCTGGTATTAAAACCTATTTTTATACATTCACAGTGTTTTGACCCCAATTTGGGGATTAACTAATTGCTAACAGGTACTACCGCTCCAGGTCAAGGTCGACTTGGGAACACCAACAATTAAGAGGTGGTTCAATGCTCCTCAAAACCTCCTGATCAGAGGCCTTGCTGCTGGATGTAGTTTATCATCTTACCCGGGATGGAAAGGTAAACATCAACTGCAAAAAGACTGAATGCATGTTTGGTAATAAAAAGAACATCCTACTATGCAAATTGCAGGTACTGAAGTCAAACAGGTGCAACAGTTTAGATATTTGGGCAGCATATAAACGGAAGACAGTTAAACACAGAAATCCAAAGGCACATTGGGATAGAGAAAGATGCCTTCCAAAAGCTAAGCAAAATATTAAGAAACCAAAAAGTATTGTTAGAAACAAAGAAAACAATACTGAATTGTAATGTAATATCAGTCCTCCTTAATAGCAGTGAAAGCTGGACAATCTCCTTATA